AAACCAATCCTGCCAGTAGTAGTACTTTCTGTATCATTGTTCTTCTTTAGAATCGGTTTCCTGTTAGAATATGTCTAGCTGGATTACCTCAATATATGCCACTGTGTAGCGTAGAGTAGTTTTACAGTGTTTGAGCAGAGTTGCAGGTGAGCTGATGTGCTGAGCTACAGGGAGGAGCAAAGGGGTGAACTGAGGGAGGTGAGGACTTCATAGATCTGCATGTCTACAGTGTAAAGTTAATTTCATGGAGAAGGCTTCTCAATATGTAACTCTGACACACAGAGATATGTTTTTATAGGTTGTATGGGTCTGTTGATGCCCAGAGAAGGACTTTAAGGAGTTTAGTCCATTGTTTGATGATGAGAGATGTAGAGAAAAAAAACTACCGCTAAAAAAATCTGAATTTATTTCTTGGACTTGAGATAAGGGAAACTGGAAAACTGGTTTTTGGACCAAGGTTACAAACCAAAGTGCTTGTGAAGCACATTTTCTAAGCATATTATATGTAGTCTGCAATAATTAGACAAATTGTACACAAAAACATGAGCATCTGCTGCATGATTTTCTTGTTATTGGTCAGCGATAGAAAGCTAAATATTTTCGTCTTTTGCTTTTATGGTCAGACAGTAAACAAACTGAATGTGCTAAGTTGGGCTTTTGAGAATTGTAAGACCGTTTTCTAACATTTCATGACTCAGTTATAAAAAATAATCAGTACTCGCAGCCCCTCGCACATTTTTTCGTGTAAAATCTGAAAAGATGCTGCTCTGACATGGTCGGAAAGCTGAACAAAGCCAACATGTGACTCACAAGAATAAGAAGCAGCTTTGAACAGTGACTAAAATACTGCAAAATGTACAAACTGCTGAGGACGAGCCTGTGCTGGAGCTCATCGTTGGACTTTCTCACTGAGACGATCCAACTCACAGCTGTTGAGGCTTCAGACACGTAGGATGTGACAGAGGTTGTTTGTTAGATGAAACGGAGCAAAGAGTTTAGACAAGGACAACAGCTGGCCAGTGGTGCTGCTAACGTCTAACTCTAAGCAGCGGTTATTATTTATTTACTGTCCAGCCTGGTGGTCAGCAGACTCTTAGGAGACATGTTCGCTCTCAGTGCGTGAGCTTGTGTAGGCAAAAGCAGAAGTGCACTCTCTCAACTGACGTGATTGTTATTGGTTATGACATTTAATTCCCTTTTGAGAACAACCAGTGTTTTGCTGCAGGCATCTGTGAAGGTGCACGATACGATGCCGAGAGATTATTTATACACACAAATTATTCCGAGACAGAGATTGTGTTCGAAATCTTTATCTTGATCAGTTATTATTTGTCATGTTTCTCTGCGGGGGTGGAAATTGGTGTGAAGCTGCTCATTTTCTCAAGAAATGGAATTAGATCTCTTGTTTGTTGCTTAAATTAAAGCTCCTTCATTTGCATAGTTCTTAGGTTGTTTCTGTTCACAGTACTTCTTTCTTCCACCACTATGAGCAGTTAGCACTGAGTCCAAGTCATAGTAAATTACCAACAGATCATAGCAACTGTTTTTTTTTTCCATTTGTTCCATTTGAGGCGTTGCACCATTGTTTATAATTTATACAAATGAACCCCCTTAAATTTTATCTTTTTGAGATGCATGTATGTTTGCATGTAACACAACAGTCAGAGCAATAGCAGATTCACAAGGTCATGGACACAAAAATCAAAAGGCTTTAAAGAGAAATTTGATCAATTTTTTCACATCAAAGTCTGCTTACAGGTCTTTGGGAGCGCTGCTGCTTTATGTGTGGTATCAAGTCTTCGTTGGCTCCAGAGGGAGCTGCATGAAATTGGATAAATTAAAGACTGAAGACTAGTTTGAAAATTGAAAAAAAAGAAAAGGGGGGGAGGGGGTATGTGGAGTCAGAAAGTGTGTTTACTGGACCTCTACAACTGATCCTTATGTCTGCTCCAGGCTACCTGCTGCTACTAGCATAGTAAACTGTTGTAGTTCAAGTTAAATAAAAACAAACACAGGGATAAATATGTAGTCAATGTTAAGAATAAATGTAAAAATAACCAAGTGTGTACATAGATTTGTATGCTCTTTTATTGTGATTTTAACATGGATTTTTGGGAGGCTAATCTTGTGCTACAAAGGATCTCAATAAATACAATTAATAGAATTACTAGAAGTAATAAATGATTGGTTAAAACTCGAAAAAAAATTACTTACTTCTATTATCATCATCATTATTATGATTATTGTCTAACCCTCTGAACCCAGCAAATTTAAAGCATTTCTTTTTTTAAACTTTTTGAAATTACACTGTACTTCAGATCCTGAACTGTAACTGAATCATCAGATTTCCAACTTTCCAGGCCCTTATGCAATTTCATCAAAATCATTTTACTCTACATGTCACATTTTGAAATTCACTAAAAAATTAACTGCTCAAAACAAAGTCTGACAATAAAAAAACAACTGAGAAGTCATGAGTAACTTGGCTGCCGTCAGTAGTCACGACAAAACTTTTGTTAATATTCAGCTGAGCTGCAGGCTGTGTTTACGCAGAGGAGACAAGTATGGAAACACATTAGAGAGACTGAGAGGAAAACAAAACAAACTTGAGCCAAAAAATTAAATGCAGCATGGCTCAAAACCCGTACACAGAGGAGCAAACTGTTGGAAGAACAACATGGTGAAACACGTGTTGTGTGAAAATGCCTCATTTGTCAAGGTGGTAAAAATATAAAAAGTTCAAAGTGTGTTGATGGGTTTTTGGTAAGATAAATAACCAAAGAATTTCAACCTAATTTTCTCCTTTTTTAAAAAAACAATTTCCGACATTCTAATTTTGTTATAATGCACAAAAGACATTGGGTTGGGTTCTCTCTACTTCTAGCTGGGGTTGTGTTGTTTCCATAGAGGTGCAGGACTTTATATTGCAGTGAAAATGAGCCCACAGTGAATAAAATGTAACAGGAACAAGAAAACAAACCCACCCACAAACTGCTTGGAGTTCAGAGGGTTGAATCTTCTGTCAACGATCTAATGAGGACTCGTTTCTAAAATCTTGGCCCTGTTCTGTTGCTTCACAGCTACCAAAAATACATCTTTAGGAGAGTAAAAAAACAAAACAAAACAAAACAAGGATTTAATGTTGAAATTTACTTTCATATATGTACTAAAATCGTTGGCAGAGGTATGGAGCTGAGCTGTGCCACGATTGGAAAATAGCATTCTGGATGGAAATCAAGATCTGTGCGCTTTCTTTGTCTGCTTCAGAGAGGAACGGAAGAATAATTAAAGGCAGAAGGAATCAGTTCAGTCAGCACTACACGCCTCTACTCCTTTGATTTTTGTTTCTAATCTTCTTGACATGTTTTTTTTAAAGTGCAGTCTGAGTTTAAGATGCTAGAGAAGGCCTTTCTTGTCTCATTAATTGAGGAAAAGAATCATTTGCATATTTCCAATTTAAGTTTAAATGCAAGTACAAAGCAAACCAGTGAAACACTGAGGACTTACCTGCTTAGAGGTGGAGAGTTGAACAACCTTTTTGGTTGATATTTACTAAAATTTGGGAATATTAAATGACAGAAGAAAGGCACTGTTGTAGTTAAACAGGTTTTACGACGGTCCCCTTCCTGGTCTGTGTATTTTGTGTGAGGTCTTCTGGTTCATGGTGGTTGGAGTGATTTGTATCAGTCAGTAATATTACATTTTGACAGGAGTTTACAAGCAAAATGAAAATGCCTTTAACTCTTTATGATTAACTTGGATCTGAGGTTTCACTCTCCTCAAGGCTGCTTTCCGTCCACCTACACTACAGACAGTTACGTAATGTTTTTTAAGGACTTTCGTAACAGAGAAGTGCTCTGAAACACGGTTTCACAAAGCAAAAAGCTAATAAAATTGGGTTCAGTAGTCATACGAATGGGAGTTAGAGTGCATGATTGGAAAAACCCGGGGAACATCTGGCTTTTGGTTTGTGATTTTTGACATTGGCAAAATTTGGCGCAGGTGAAGTTCTGTGTGCAGAAATGAGGATGAAAGCATCGATTGTTGTGAATTTCAAGTAATTAATGTGAAAGCGGAGGTACACTCTTAAATATTTGTATCGATAAAATATTTATTGGAATTTGTGAATCGAAAAAGCAGAGAAATGTTTTGATTTTTAGTTACAGACTGCATCTTGACTGTTCAGCAGTTTTCATATACTGAGCATTAGAAATGTTCACAGTCTTGTCAACTATGATAAAATGAGGATGAAACCATGGGACTTCTGTGAATTTCAAAGTACTTACATTAGAGATAAACCCCTACAGGTTTGTAATGTTAGTACGAGTATTTACTGGAAGCAGGGAAACGTTTGGATTTTGGCACAGAGTTTGGGCATCTTGAATACTTCTACGTGATTTTACAACAAACTCAATAGTAGCTGAAGTTCCCAGATAGGAAATGAAATGAGGATGAAAGTATGCGATTTTGTGGATTTCAAGTAATTATATGAAATTGGAGATGAACGCTTAACAATTTGTAGCAATAACAGCATTTATTGGAATTTGTAAATCAAGCAGAGAAACATCTGGATTTGTTCAGCTGTTTTTATATACTGAGCATTACAAATGTCCATAGTCTGGACATTTGTAATAAAATGAGGATAAAAACTTGTGATTTTTGTCAACTTCAAGTAAATAATGTGAAAGCAGAGATGAACCCTGACAGCTAGAGTGTTTACTGGAGTTATTGAGCTGAATAAGCCATAAAATATCTGAATTGTTAGGCACAGAGTTTGTGCATTTTGACCATTTACGTGGATTTTGATACCAGACTTGACAGTTGTTGAAGCTGTAAGTGAGAAAATGAGGATGAGACTATGAGATTTTTATAAATTTCAAGGAAACTGTATGAGAGTGAAGACAGATTTGGAAATTCAATCGAGTATGTACTGGAGTTTGTGAACTTAAAAAGCAGGGGAACATCTGGATTTTTAGTTACAGACAGTAGTTTGACTCTCTTCAGCTGCACATAGCCACAATCTGACTGGAAAGATGAGCGAGTGACCATCTCCAGTGAATCATGCAGTATATTACTTTTATGAACTGTGAGTGATCTCACCCCTGGAGCTCCCCAGACAGACCAGTAACTGTTTAATGAACTTCCACCTGTAGTCGGAGTCTCCTACCTGCAGCCAGCTGCATCCAGCCGCAGATCTTGTACACGGTCCCGGTGCTGCAGAAGAAGAAGAGCGCGAAGCAGCCGATGCAGGTGAGGACCAGCACCATGGACATGCCGATGAAGAAGGAGGCAGCCTTGAACGCACCGGAGGGGATGGTGCTGAACTCGGTGAAGCTGCCTTGACAGGTCAAGTCCCGGGACAGCCCGTTCCCTATGCAGTAGTGGAACAGACCGAAGTAGCCCGCCTGCGGGGTGTCCACGCCGTCTCCGATCCAGTAGGGCTGGATGAAGCACACCACGTTGACGATGGCGAAGAGGATGGTGAAGATGGCCCAGAGGACGCCGATGGCACGGGAGTTTCGCACGTAGTTGGTCTGGTAGATCTTGGCAGCTTCGGATGCGGGGAGCATGGTGGTGGTGTTGGGGGCCCCGGGGACCATCCTCCGGTCTGTGTGAAGGGGTCTGCTCGCTCCTCTGGATCTGTCAACCTCAGCAAATTAACATCTGCCTCATCTGGCCACAGGATTCTACACAACTTCTCCTGGTCGCTCGATGTCTTTCTTCTTCTTGTGATTTTTCAGTCACAGCTGGATCCACGGAGCACCGCTGCGCTCTCGCATCCGTGGCAAGGTCGGGTTTCTTCTTCTGATTTTTCATTCATCCGTCTGCAGAAAGGAAACGTGCGCTCCGGGAAAAAAACAAGCTCCAGAAATCCTCTAGTCAGAAGATGTACGCTGCATTTGTCCGCATGTTTATTTAACGACGTGTCCAGCCGAGCCTCCTCCGGTGTTCCATGTGTGTGTGGATGAGAAGCGGTCAGTGTGTTTCTCGACGCCGACGGAGCAACAACCGCAGCTGAGCTCCGATTGAATTAGAGTTGGAGGATCGCCTTGGATATTACAGGGCCAGCCCACATCCCTTAATCCCAGGCTGACGTATTATGCCAGCAACGCGCGAAGCCTTAAACAGACACATGGATTTTAAAAAATAAAATCGAGATACCAATTCTCTCTGATCGCTGACAGACTCACTGTATAGGTACAGACGACTGCACTATAAATGAAGGAACATGCTGCTCCCTGACATTCACAAAAAATACGTTTAGTCTTCATTTTTGTTTGAATATCTTGACTGGATTTCTTTCTTTTCCTGTCTTTTAAAAAAAAATAATGGCAGTTATGTGAAAACATCTGAAGAAAGTCACAATGCAATCTGTGACTAAAATCCAGATATTTTATTTATTATTTGAATAATAATGAAATATTAATTAAAAATGTCTTAGTAATCTATCAGTTAACCAGTGGTTTGTTTTCATACACACATCTGAAAATGCATGAAACATATGTATATATTACATGTGGGCATGTACATGCGCTGTTATTACTTTCTTTCTGGTATCTGGTAACTGTCAATAATGTCATTTTGAATCTGTGTTCTTTCTTTATCATCAGCAACACTCAGCCAGAGATATCTTCCACTTTTACCAATACTGTATTTATTCTTAATGCTGTATTTATTCATTTTCATTTTTCATCCTTTGTATATATTATTATTATTATTATTAGTGCTGCTGTGAAAGATGTTGCTGCTGTAACAATGTACATTTCCTCTGGCGTGGGGAGCAATAAAAGGATTGTCTTATCTGCAAAAAGATCCCCATCCTGAACTATATGTACTCAGTGTAATTTTAACACAGCTTATTGTTTTCATCATAATAATGCGGAAAACATGTCAATATCTCAGGTTTGGTTCATATGAAGTCTTAATGGAAGTTGGGCGTGAGCATGATTTGTCTTAAAATTCAGATATGCCGTCTGATTGTTTGACTAAACAAATAATAATTAGTAATTAAAAATAGCTTTTTTATTAATTTAAGTTGTTGCCCTTTGGCAAGACGCTGCTTATCGAAGCGAGGGCGACGCAGTTTACTTTGACGGGTGTCAAACTTGCAACCTCACTATTACAAGCATGAATCGTAAACCGCTCTTCTACTGAACAGAAAGACGCTGTAGAAAGTGGGACGGTGAGCAGGTGACGACACTGTGTTTGTAGTAGTCAACATCTAACGGTACACACAGACCTCTGAATGAAGCCTGCCCCGATAAAGACTTACCCATCCACCCCCCTAGAAAGCCAATACACACCATTTCAACTGTTTCAGCAAAGAGACAGACAGCAGGTTGAACAGAGTGATGCTTTGAAAACATTCAATTCATTTGAAGTAATTTTTTAACAAAATGGGGCAACACTGGTTGGACGTTCAATCATTTTCGCGCACACAAGTGTTGAAAAGATAAAGATTGCATGGAAACATTATGTGCATAATGTGAAAATGTAGAAACGTGGGTTTGGTGTCTATGGGAGCTACTAGGTGACTGTGATTTGCATGCATGTTAACAAAAAGCACCTGGTTCATGAATCCACATTGAACTGCTGCCGCTGTGTGTTCTAATGATTACAACCAGTCCTTAACAGGGGAGTTACTTACGCGAGTGCAGCTCTCACTTACCTTTTCAATCATCAGTAATAGACGTAGGTAGCGTATTTATTGCATCATCAGTGCAATGAGCACACTCGGCAGCAGAACGCTGCATAAGTCAGCCACACAAATGTGTTCTAGATGGCTGCTTCGATTTCTCCTCACCGACAATATCAAGTGTGGATGGGGACAAAAAAGCAGCCACCACAATGCAGTCCCGGTCTGGATGTTCTCCGCACCCTAATTTTATGTGGCAGCATTACACAAGCTAGTAGAGTCATGAATCAATATCACAACAATCAATTATGTCCGTCTGATACCGTATTCTTTCTTTGTTTCTGATCAACCCTCTCTCATAGATACCTGAGGTAAGATCTCCACCCTGAACTGTATATAATGTAAGATATGTATAATCTTATAACACAGTCTAATATTATTGTCATAATAAAGCTGCCAAAAATGTCAATCACAACACATTTGGTTAACTTGAAGCCTGAGTGGACACTGGGGTGAGCACGGAATACGAAGCACAGACGGGAGAAGTGAGAAGGTGACAACAGTGTAGACAACATACAAGCGTGTGAATGCGCTGTTATTACTTTCTATCTGGTAACTGTCAATCACGTCAATTTGAATTCACATTATGTACATAATGTTTCCATGCAATCTTTATCTTTTCAACACCTGTGCGCGCGAAAATGACTGAACGTCTAACAAGTGTTGCTCCATTTTTGCAAGGGTTGAACAGAGTGATGCTTTCAAAGCATTCATTCAATTCATTTGAAGTCGTTTTTGAACAAAATCAAATCAAGTTTATTGTCATTTTGCTGTACATACAACAACAGCAGTACCAACAAGATGAGAGAGCGTTTCGTCAGGATCCAAAAACAAGAAGCAGTTAAAGAAGTGTTTGCATGTCTTGATCAGCAGTTCAGCATTCTGACAGCGTGTGGAATGAAGCTGTTGATCAGTCTGGAGGTTCATTCCTTCAGTGCTCTGGAAGCGTTTGCCTGGTTGCAGCAGTTTAAACAGTTTATGGAGAGGGTGTGAGGAGTCCCTGACAACGTTCAGTGTCCTGCTCGTGCAGCAGCTCTGGAAAAGTTCAGAGCCAGCTGTCTGTTTGTCTGCCCGGAAATGCCGTCTCTTTCAGCTCTGTGGCCGTCTGGGATGTAGTCACGGAGCCATGTTTCTGTAAAAGCAAACACACAGCAGTCTTTCCACTCTCTGCGGGTTTCTCTCAGCAAACGTAGCTATATTAAAATCACCAATTAACCTCAACATGTTTTTGGACTGTGTAGGAGGAAGCCAGAGAACCCGGAGAGAACCCACGTTGCACGAGGAGAACATGCAAACTCCACACAGAAAGATCCCACTGTGAAGATGTGAAGTTGCAGTAGTCAATGCATGATATTAACGTCTGGGGTAGACAAGACACTTGAAACGTTCACTTTCGTTGTCTCCTGAAGGGACTGCTGCGTCCATTCACGTCGCCAACCAACAAAATATAGAGGGGATGAAAAATACAGTATTAAGAATAAATACAATAATGGTAAAAGTGGAAGATATCTCTGGCTGAGTGTTGCTGATGATAAAGAAAGAACACAGATTCAAATTGGCATTGTTGACAGTTACCAGATACCAGAAAGAAAGTAATAACAGCGCATTCACATGCCTGTATGTTGTCTGCACTGTTGTCACCTGCTCACTTTTCCTGTCTGGGCTCTGTTTCTTCTCAGTAGCCGAGTGGTTAACTGTTCGCACTTGTGACATTGAAGTCAACGATTCAAGTCCTATAAGGGCAAACACGCACAGCTGCTGCGTAGCTCTTGTTTTAACATTCAACGTGGTGTTTGCCCAGTGAGACAGATGCTTACATTTCTAAAGTGCAACTTAAAGGTAATGGTAATCATTTTGTGTTTGGTCAAACAATGAATTTGACAACAAAGCAGCTCACCCCAATATCCACGAAAGCTTCAAGTTAACCAAATGTGATGTGATTGACATTTTTGACAGCTTTATTATGACAACAATATTAGACTGTGTTATAAGATTATACATATATTACATTATATATAGTTCAGGGTGGAGATCTTACCTCAGGTATCTCTGAGAGACGGTTGCTGATCAGAAACAAAGAAAGAATACGGTATCAGATGGACATAATTGATTGTAGGGATATTGTTTAACGACTCTACTAGCTTGTGTAGGGCTGCCACATAAAATTAGGGTGTGGAGAACATCCAGACCGGGACTGCATTGTGGTGGCTGCTTTTTTGTCCCCATCCACACTCGATGTAATATCAATCAATGGTTTGAAGTATGTAAAAACATATAATGTTCAGATGAAGCATTAAGGAATTTATTACACGTCCAACAGGCTGTATCGTTATATATTTTTCCCCATTTAAATCCACACACAAAAAAAGTTTAGTCTACCTTTACGTAGCGAATGTTTTTAGTTCTAGACTACGTTACCCACAATTCATAGCTCACTTGTGATTGGCTGATGCCAGTGACAGAAGGACGTAATCTGAAGGCGCGCGCGAAACTCCAGTGTGCTCTCTCCTGTGTTTCAGTGTTTCCGATTTAAACGGACCTTTATTTCTTCTCTTTTGACCGCATTTGACGTTTGTTGAATGTTCTATTTCCAGATACGGGTGTTTCTGTAGCAGCTCGCCGTATTTACAGTTAGTTGTCCGATCTTATTTCTCACTTTATGGCTGTGCGACGGAGTTTTGCAGCCTGTTTGAGTTTAATGAGCTGTCGCGGAAAGCTAAGCTAACGTTGATCGTGTTTGTTTTTAGCACAACTCTGCACTGCTTAAAACGGACACAGCGTTTGCAGTAGGACGAGCAGGATGGCAGCGCTGTTACAGCACCCAGGATACGATGAGGAGAAGCTGCGGAGGGTCGCAGAGCAGCTGCCATGCAGAGAGGTCCAGGCTGGGATGCTGCTGTCGCTCATGGGAGAGGTATGGAGGCCAGTTCTGAGGTGCAGGAGTTTAGCAACAGCATAAGGATAAGATGAATGTGTCCCAGGTCTTTGTTGAACTAGTTTTCCAGAATGTGCAATACTAAAGATCCACTTGTTCAGACATGTACCAAAATGGTATACATTGGTTATTAGTTTGTGCATGATACGGTTTTTCATATGAAATATAGATATATGAAGAGTTCATTTGTAAAAACGGATAACTCCATCTTCACAAACCTTCAGAAAACCCACTTGTCCATCGTCTACCTGAGATAATATAAATCAAACTTAAGTTATCTCTGTTTTTGTCATGTCATTTCTACTGAATCAAATCCACTCAACTTCAGTTTGATTGATATTATCTCAAGCAAACAACAAAAAAAAAGTTTTCTGAAAATCTATTAAAATGGAGTTATCTGTTTTTGCAAATGAACTCTTCATTTTTAAAGTTACCTAGTAAGAGAATCTTAAAATTACACCTGGGCCTCCTTCCTCATTTAGAAAAGTTTATTACTAGATGCACTGCTCTCTGTTTGTCTAATGCAGACTTCAGTTCTTTAACACATCTCTCGGGTAAGTTGCCCGACAAGGATTGACACCAATACTTGACAGATTTAGGACAACACTGAGACACTGTTCACTTTTAGCCTTCCAGTGTCAAATTGTAAATGTACTACGATCAGCTACAACATTACAATAGACGGGGTAGGATATTTTTTGAGCAGAAGTAAGGGTTCTTTAATAGTGCTGACTGCACTCTTTGACCAGGAAATAAACTTGATTTGTGTCCCACCTTCATTACATACAGTGCAGTTTAAACTAATTTAGACCAAACTGTGTGAAAACATTTAAACAAATAAACGGTGTAAGCAAAAGTACGTCACTAAAGGTTTGAATAAAATCAAATTAAAAAACCTTTGGCCACTGTTCAGGAAGAACACGGCCTTATCAACAGTATATCATGCTGAATGAACATAACAACAAAGCCATTTTTACTCTTTTCATGGCACCAAACAACCTCACAACTAGTGATAAACAAATCCATACAGTCATTTCGCACACATGTACGCAAGCAGTACATTTTTTTCATGGCCAATGTTGTTAGCCAACAGGTAACAGACAGTAATTCCAGACTTTTAATCAACTGATTCTTTGTTGGAGTATGATCTTTGTTAACAGATATTTTGACTCATTTTTAATGTCAGAGAATAAATTAGTTGTCAATAAATCTCTGGTGTCAGAATAAGGTAATGGAAACTTTTCAATTAAATCAGCTGTTCAGTTTGTTAAGAAAATTGAGTGACTGTTAGCAGGATAACTGATTACTGACAACAGCGCTGGGTTTAATTAGATTAAGAAAGAATATAGCTCACATTAGTTTGCAATGTGATTATAAAAGCCAATAGAGAACTTGCTTGTTTCAATTGTTATTGAGCATGATTAAATGGTATAATGAAGTTGGGAATAAAGGTAATTAATTTTGTTCCTGCAGCCACAGCAGTACAGCTACCCTTCAGTCTTCATCTACGGTCATCGGGCCTCAGGAAAGAGCCATGTGCTGCACGTTCTGCTGAGGGAACTGGAGGTGAGAGATGCATTTGTTGTACAGTGACCACGAGGGTCGAATGATTTGGGGAGAAAATTATCTAATTGCATTTTTGCAGACAGAATTTGTGTTTTAATTTTCAATCTCATCTTTTAAAGTCCATCGTCTGTTCATTACTGAATGTGTAAAAGATTTAAACCTGTGAAGGAGAATTGCCACATGAGACGCCATCAAAAGCGTGACAGTTATATGCTTTAAAAAAGATTTACAATTTATGAATAGAATTACAAGGTCTAAGAATAATGTAGAAAACCCTTTTTCTAACTACAGGTGTTTTTGTGTAAATTAGATATAAAGAGCAAAGATTTTCATCTCTTTTGTTCCCTTTGCACGAAACTTCTACCTTCAGGGAGGCGCAAAAGATAAATAACAGCTAGAAACAATGTATACAGCAAGTCTTTCTTTCCAATCACGCTTAGCACGATAAACTCATAGCCTCATGATAATGAACATCTTTACTTCTGCCCTTTCTATGTCTGAGAATTTTTTGTTTTCTTAAATCATTGTTGTTTAATCATGCCTTCTTGCTGTTTGTCCTCATGAACTGTCTTGTCCCATCAGACAGTTTCTCACAATGTGGACGATATAATTACAAACTAACTGTCTGACTTCAGCTGCAGCTAATGATGTAGAATAATGTGTAATTATTACATTGATTAAAGATCAATTCACTGATTAGTTTTATAATTAAACGATCAATCATTTGGCCTATGAATTTAATGAAATTGTGGAAAAACACCTCTTCAAAGTGACGTCTTATTTAGCTTAAGTAATGACAGAAAGAAGCAGAAACCGGAAAATATTTTGATTTCGAAAAATGGCTAAAACGATCAGTTAGTTTTCAGAATTACTTGCTAATGTGTTTCCAGTTGAGCCATGAATTGATCTTCCCATCATTTAATTTTTATAACTAACTTATATTTGCAGTTAATTTAGCTTCTCGTTGCTTGTATTAGGTGACGCCAGATTCCAGCAGAGGAGATCCGTGACACTTTATTTGTCATTTCATTGTCGTGCTCAGTGTGCAACGTAGGCAAAAGGTTGACGTGAAAATGTGTGTTACCTTCACAGACATCAAACTGATCATCTTTCATCATTCCTTCTTCCTCTCTGCAGCTGCCTCACGCCACCGTCAGCTGTGTCGAATGTGTCTCTGTTGTGCTGCTGTTTGAACAAGTGCTGCTGTCCTTCTTTGGCTGCGATGCCGCCTCGCTGCTCCCCCGCAGTCCCTCCCTGTCTGACTTTGTACGCGTCTACAGACAGCAGCGCTCACAGTCTCCCGCCAAGCAGACACGATACATAGTGAGTGCCATGCACTTTACGCTCTAACAGAAAATCACTGCTCACTTGGCACACCAAGCCATCCTCATCCACGGCACATCAAATTATTTATTCTTTGCCCGTGTCACCTAAATGTTAGTGTGATAATATGATTAGTAGTGATAACATATGCAAATAGATGCTAAACAAAGCTCCAGATGCATTAGCCTGAAGAAAATAAATGTGATTTTCAGCCAGCACAGGAGTAGGTTTAAATCTAGTATTTTGGCTTCATCTTTTTTTTTCTTTTACATTAGAATATGTTTGCAGCTTAAAACACAGTACTCCTCCTTGATAAAACACCCATTCACAGTCTGTACTTTACTCAGTATAGATCCTAAAAATAAGCTGAATTGTACGTATATTTTTTTTCAGGTAATGGAAAAAGCTGAGCTTCTAAGAGACTCTGATGCCAATCTCCTCCCCGCTCTCCTGCGTCTTCAGGAATTGGTGAGTGAGACGCTCTTTGTGTTATCTATCAAGTGAGCCACTTTGTTGTTGTTGCACTGTGAGGATGATGAAGGGGGACTGGATGAGCTTCACTCGTAATGAATGACCTTGAGCTGAGTGTGTGGAGCTCTTTCGTAATGCTGCTAGGAAGGAAGGATGCCTACCACTCATAGCATTTTAATTAAAGACATCAAGAGTAAAAGACTTATGTGATTATTCGTGCTTTATTCCAGTGAAAGCTAAATGCTCAAAGGTGGATTGTGAATGAATCTGTCTTTTTAATGTCATGCTGCTTCGGTGCTGCCACACGGGATTATGAAGTGATAATTAGAAAGGAGATTTACACATATGTGAAGGATGACAGGATAATGAAGAGTTGTTGTTGTGTCTCTGATGCTTATTAGAATTTCTCCAAGAAGGTTAGCACGAAGGAGAGGCCTGATATTAACAGATTAAACTGATTAACTTTTCAGATCTTGCTGAATTTGAAAAAGAGTAAATGAATGTTTTTCCCAAATCGGTGTACGACTGCCAAACTTATTGGATGGGGACGGTGTTTTAGTGTGAATGCAGTTCCCAGGGATAACTTTGATGCTGTACTGTTGTGCGCTGATCCAACTTTTTGCTCGTCAGTGGTTTGACAATTTCTTGCTGTTGTTGTGTGACAGTCACACTTTTGATGTTGTCTCGTGGTGATGCGTCATCACACATTGTAAACACATATAGAACTAAACGGTGAATATTTAACTGAAGGTTAACTTCAGACCCAGTTGTTGTTGCAATATCTGTCAGAATAATTACAATTAGATATTTTACCAAGATTGTTCAACACTATTACAGTATTTAAAATAGAAATAAAAAAATGTAGCAATCACTGGCGATGACAGAGGTCAAAACTCGATGACAGTGTTTTAGTAATTACTCCCCCCGCCCGAAGGACGGGGCTGAAGTTCTGCACTGCAAGTTCAGGCTGTTTCCTATCAACAGTTACAATCCTGACGTTTCATACTCCAGACAAATGAGACACTTGTGGTACAGTTATGTAGTGTTGTGTTACTCCAAGTGTTTCTGCTGTAGTGATTGAAGGGACAGTGTCTTGTTCCCAGGCAATAAATATTATGCATTACTTCCTTTTTAATTATTACTTGTCTGCATAATAAGCTCTGACTTTATTATTTTCATTATTGTTTTAATCTGCTGTTTGCTTGTTATTTTGTACCTGTTGTCACATTTGTGTATTATTTAGTTTTGACTTATCAAATTTTTTTACTTAAAAAATTTAGAACAATTGTTGTTCATCAAGTGTTTATAAAATGGAAAAAAGAGAGAGAGAGATTTCTGAGCACAGTGTTGTTATGTTGTCAAATTTTTGTCTTCAACAAATAATTCGGGACGATATTTAAGTAAATATTAAATGTAAAAGGGAAACGCCAAACCTTTACTTTTTAAAATGCTTTCGTTTTGTTTGGATCAACTCGTCAGCTTGGCTCTAAATAAAATACACACACCATTAGTTAGAAGCGCGTAAATTCAAGCAGGAAAGCTGGCTGTATCCATGGAGACATCCTCACACTCAACTGGAGTGTTAAATCCAGTTGTTAGACCAAACCGCCATCGTATGAAATACTTGTTAATTCATACATCTGTTTTTCAGGTTGAGGACAACGTTACCGTCGTCCTGCTCAGCGAAATCGTGTGGGACAAGTTCAGACCAAACACCGGCTGTTTTGAGCCTCTTCTGCTCCATTTCCCAGACTACAGTAAAGGTAATAACATTATTTCACATGCTGCATGAATCACTTCCACCACGCTGCATGACGATGACACACACTTGCTCATGCAGCGTGAGATGTGAGATTTGTACCTGCGATTTTCGTTTAACACTTCAAGCAGCAACTGTGGAGGAATGTTGCATTATAAAGCACCACTGTATAAAATCAGCACTTAGTGGGAGTGAATCATTGTGCTTAACATGTGAGAATCTGTTACTGGTTTTAGAGAGGAAATACTGATTGTACAGGTTTTATTTTGGCATTTTCTAAGTCCCTTCATCTCTGTTGTAGGTGAGCTGCAGCAGATTTTGTCCCAGGACAAACATCCTTCGTACTCAGCTGAGTTTTACTCCTCCTACGTCAACATACTGCTGGGAGTCTTTTACTCTGTGTGCCGCGACCTCAGAGAACTGCGACACCTGGTCAGAAACATGCGCTCTTATCAGTCAGTAAAGATTTTTTATCTTTCAGTCCTTCAGGTTGATTTCTCTTTTCTTTTTTTCTCTCCAACCAGGCTTCCCTCAACTTTCCAAAGTTCTGTGAGCCTCTGGCAGAAGGGAAAGGTAAAGCATGAAGAGGTGCTTTTATTCATTTGATAGCTGATCAGTATTTTAGTTTAACCTTTGAAGCTGAGCTGAGCTGCACTTTAGCTAGTTGAACTTTTTTGGTCATGTTTGAGGTAGGGCTGGACCCGAATAGCCGACTATTCGTTTGGAGTGCCGGTGTCAGAATACCAATTTTGATCTCCGACTATTCAGCCTCCTGCTTCCTGTCTCCTACCCAAAGAAAACATTCATCATGTAAAGTTGTCATGGTGACTGTGTTTGCAGACATCCACCAGACACTAAGCATCATTATCCTTCAGTTGTAGATGTTTATGTCCTCTTTAGGAATGTAAAGCCAGACTTCTAGACAACTTAGATATTGACATCATAGGTTTTGACTTATAGCTCAGTGTTGGACTTCACCTGTTGGTGTCACCTCCACACCACCAAACAAGAGTTTTATACTGAACTGCTTTATAGTGAGAGGTGATTCTAATACTTCTCAATATAATGCAGTGTAGTACAGCTTCTCAGCTATGACCTAGTCAAAGCTAAATGTTACAAACTTTGTCAAATGTGTTTATTTAACACATTTCCAGCAAAAGTTGATTGAAGTTCAATAAAAGGAGAAGGCAAATTGAGCATTAAAACACAAAAAATCAAGGTGAAAACACGGATACCTTTAAGAGAAGTCATTTCACCAGATTTAATAACCAAAGTAACAAAGATTAAAAAAAAAAAAAAAAAGATTTTCCGGCCTTGTCCAAATGTACGTGGGTATTCTTTAAAAGCTTTTTCTATGCTTTTTGATCTTTTATTTACATGAAAATGAAATGTTAGGACACCGAAAATAAAGCTTTTGGAAAACTCCGTCAAGGGTGATGATTTTCAGAAGCTCCATTTGCAGAACTGTTGTGTAGACAGGGAGGAACACAGATTTTTAAACAACTGTCCCGCTGCTTCTTGTTTACACCGGCATTCACATTCCTAGTCCACACAAATGGCATTGTAGTATGTATTTTTATGCTTGTTAATGTGGATGTAGATTATTTCTAAAACGCTTTGTCTAAATAGAGATAATTTTTAATTTAAAATGCTGAGTTGAAATGAAACATATTTGTATGGATGTAGCTGTCATACATTGTGTTGCCGCCCAAATATGAAGATTTAAAACTGTTCCACAGTTGCAGAGCTGCTACCGAAAGCAGCCCACGTAAGAAGGCCCCCCGGGTTGTCTTTATCAAACTGGAAAGTGTACAATCATGGTAGCAGAACCATTGAATTGGACTAATGCACGAGCTAGCAAGAAAAGGTGAAATATTATGATTTGGTTTTAAGTCATGTCCAACAGAACAAATGTTGAATGCAATCTTGTGCGAGGTATTTAGAGGTTTCAGAAACTTGGTCAAGTGAACACACTATGAACACTCTGGTAGAAACGTAAAAGAGAAAACAAAAGGTCCAAGTTGGCTACTCACACTTCTTTCCCCACATGATGTCTCATAGCTGCTGCATCCCCGTGTGGATAGTTACATGCTGCTAAATCTCAAGTCCCACATCTTTTTGTTTTTTTTGACACTGTTTTGGGCTCCTCTTGGTCTCGTGGGGAAAAAATATGTGGACTGTCGCCGTCTGATGTTCTTTGGCTAGTTACTAATTTATTGTTTTTTGCTGAACAGCTGCCTGCTGTGGCAAGAAATAGGGTTTGCAGGCTGTAAATACGTAGAAATGAGCCTAAAGCACCATAAAAATCAAGGAGCTGTTTTTGTAAAAAGAAAAAATATTTATTGATCAGTGTAGCTTTATTTCTGTTTTCCAAATGTTTTTATAGTTTTCCTGCTGTTGCTTTAAAAATATCATCTCACATGCTGTCACTGTTACTTTTTCACCAACTTTTGCTTTCTTTTACGCGTCTAGTGAAAGAGACTGACACACACAAGCTGTGGAGGAACATTGAGCCTCATTTGAAAAAGGCCATGCAGACGGTTTACCTTCGAGAGGTGTCCAGGTCTGTGCACTTCACATGGACGCACTATTGAAATACATTGATGATGTGGTTTCGTCTGATCCTGGGTGTCTTCTTGTTCCTCTGTTCAGTCTTCAGTGGGAGCAGATGCAGCAAATGGAGGAGAAGGAGGCTGGAGCCTTGAGAGGTACAAACACACACTGAGCTCTGCTGCACTCGATGACGATGGCAGAGCAGATGTTAAACCACATATACAGTGACTCTACGCGTTCAAGCTGAAGTTATGATGTTTTTTCCTGTGCAGTAAACAGAACATTAGTGCATAATAGTATGCAAAGATGCTGATTTATTGCATTTGTTCCCTTCTTTCAAAGGTTTATCAGCTCACACTCATGTTGAACTGCCTTATTACTCCAAGTTCCTGCTGATCGCTGCCTATCTGGCATCGTACAACCCTGCACGCACAGACAAACGCTTCTTCGTAAAGGTAAGACCATTTTATCCGACAACACCAGGAGTCTCCTGTTCTTATGTCGGCTTGTTGTATTATTTTGAGGGGGATAATTAAGTGTATTAATAGATTGTCTTGACTTGTATGAATTAATGATTTGATGATAATCTGCCAACAGCACCACGGTAAAATAAGAAAAACAAACTTCTTGAAGAAAAATGAGAAGGTGATTATCCCAAACAAGCATTGCTTTCAAACGTCATTGTTTTCTTTTATAAATTTGAGATTTAACTTGTTTACTAACGCTTACGCAATCCGTCTCCTCTAGACGAGTAACCACCTTCTTGGGCCGAAACCCTTCCCTCTGGACCGCCTGCTCGCCATTTTTTACAGTGTGGTGGACAGCAGAGTCGCACCGACTGCCAGCATCTTCTCTCAGGTGATTGTCCAGTTGGCTGCTACAGCCAGGGCACATTTACCTGTTTGCATTGGTCCATATTTTACTAAACCTTCAGAATGCATTGCACAGCTGCAGTTCTCCTTGAGATTCACTCAAATATTTCGTCTTTCAATAATCAGAATTTATGTCTGCTTTGGTTTTTACATGGACAGAGTGAAATTACATTATTGAAAAAGACTGAATCTATTAACGTGTGAATGATTTTTCTATTTTATTTGTTAGATATTCTCTCCATCACTGAAAAGCCCACTCTAATATGTGCACTGGAGAATTAAAGATTCTGTGTTTCAGTTCAGCAAAATTATATTCATGCATACATGAGAGGAAACTTTCCACCTTCAGCAGAATGATGTGAAAACAGCCCTTTGGTCAAACTCTGTTCAAACATGTTACAATCACCCACACACAGAAAAAATAATAAGAGGTTCTTCAGTTGCAACAATGGTCCTGTGATCAAAATGTTCACTTTTGTCAGATTTTGTACAAGAGCCTCTTGATTGCATTTATATGAAGAGCTTTTTTGCATTCTGACTCTGAACTAGCTCAGGATGAGGCCTTTGTCTGCTGATAAATTGGGGGTCGTCTTTGATATCTGTGAGGATTTGTGTGCTCCAGAACAATTAGTGCTTAAATTAATTTTCTTTGTGTATCTGTGCCTGTGATTGCCCTCTTAAACACCACCATTTTGCTCTCCTTGTGCTCTGCGCTCTGCAGTGGTCTAATGTTGCCCCTCATTTAGTCCTGCAGTGTAATCTTTCTCTCACTGATTGCGAGTCCCAAAGTTAGCTGAAGCCCCAGGGAACCACAGAATATGGAAAATAATTTCACACTTTTTTTCCCCCCCATTTGCCCGATAAGCAAATGAAAAAGAAAGTACACTACAATAATCAGAGGATGTTAAAGGATATTTTTCTCATTTCAAAGTCTGAGTGCAGTAGTATTTTGTGTTAAATCAAGCCTAATAAACACAGTGTCTCAGATGACAGAGTTTTCTACCCATATGGTCATGAGTTTTGGGATCTGAGGCCAAATACAGATCTATTTATGGCCCCGAGCATGAAATGGTTTTAGGAAATTAGGCTCGACCCATATCTGAGCAACTGGCTTTCATCATTTATTGCCTCGGCATCAAAGTGGAGAAGCTGTGTTTAAAGAAGTGGAACAGAGAGTCATGTCGGTTTCTCTCTGTCCCCGTTTAGATCTCCTCTCTGGTGACCTTACAGCTGTTGACTCAGGTCAGCCATGACGACCAGCTCGATGCACCAAAGTTCAAATGTGCCGTTTCTCTGGACTTCATCTGTGCCATATCCAGGTTTGTCTGATAACACACACACACACCTGACAGAGACTGAGTTATTCCAGAGAATAAAATGACCTTTTACAGTTTTTTTTTTCTCACTGAGAATGTGCTTGGTGTGATTTAACTTCCAGGACGGTGAACTTTGATATTGTGAAGTACCTGTATGACTTCCTCTGAGCCTGCAGTGCATAAAGGAGAGACGACACGTAAGATGAAGGGAGATTTATTTCCATAAGAGCACACTTAAGGACAAGCATTTGGCAAAACAAGGAGCTCTGGAGGACTGTTACATGGAGGGAAATTCAACTAATTATGTCGCTGCCCCCTTGTGGTGATGAACGAGCTCGTTGTTTTCTCTTGTAGCCTCTGTGTTAAATATTTGCATTTGTACAAAATAAATGCCATATTGGCAACTTGACTTTATCTTGGTTTGATTTAGTTAAAAGACTATGTTCCATTGTTATTATATTTACAGAAAATATCCAATGAAAGCCTTTTTATACATGAGATTTATTTTATTTTGGATTATTCTCTGCACGTCCAGTTTAAACTGTAACATAGCAGATGGATGGATGCAAATATTCACAGTTTATGTATACAAATAATGCAAAGAGAGATAACTATGGTGTAGCAGTTTTTCCTGACAGAGCGATCCTGACACCACGCAGGTGAGTCATTGTCCTTGCTCAAAGGCAGGATTTTATTTCCGTAATGTGTTTTCACATTGTTTTACGAGGGCACCGAAGTCAAAGGGTACTGTTGCCGCTACCACGGGGCGTGTTCACGAGCTTTTATGTAAAGTTTTGTCTAAAAATATCTCGTGTGTTCTGTTCGTTGAGCTCCACTTTGAACAGTAGTGGTTCCCAATAGTCTGAGCTTGTGATCCTTTTAGTTTTTGTCAGTTTATGACGACTCTTGGTCTCTTGCATGTGTCGACCAGTGATTAGCTTAATATTATAGTTTTTTCCTTATTTTGTCTTTTGGGTTAAAATGCCTTTAAATGTCCAGTAATAAAGCAAAGATGAGCACAAATTTTGCAAAAAAATTAACAGAGAAAGATGTATGCATTCATTTTTCTGCTCTCCCAGTTTAATTTTAGAAACTGCTGAACTAAAACAGTCTTTGCTCCTGTCTCTGCCTTAATGGCACTGTGTTTAAATGACTAAATTCCCCCCGAAGATTTTTATTTGTTTCACAGTCAGTGAATTTGAGCTGAGAGGCCAGTATGATGTGAGCATCTGCACATTATGTATGTGAAGGAAAGAATTCAGTCAGGACTCCAGACAGGGTTACAAGATATGTCTGAGTGGTTAAAAGTAATAATCAAGTTAGGAAAGAAGAAAACAAATCTTTTCTCAAAAAAAAATATTTATTTTGCATGATTTCTTACTGCACGTGTACTGGATGGATCTACATTTTCAGACAAATTAAACAGCACATCTCATGGAAATATTTAACCTTTGCATATAGTTTCAGAAGGGTTGAAGGTCACAAACCTTTGTCATGAAATAAAACAGATGAAGTATTTATCTCGAGCAATTAATATTCATGATTAAATATGCAACTTTCATAGTCTTATTTGTTTTAATTTTCAAAGTTTTACAGTCATAAACTGCTCTGTTTCATCAAGATCGATGGAGCTTGATCAGTTTACAGAACAACCCACCACCAGGCCAACTGTGGCAGAGCGGCTCAATCCCCAGCATCTCCAGTGTCCCTGGGCGAACAACACTGGTCCCTGATGGTCAGGTGAGCATCTCAGATAAACTGTGTTATATTTATGTGAATATAAAATCAGTTGTTCACCACTCATAGGAAGAAGCTCATTGAGAAAACAGGTTTTGGGGACATTTTCTTTGGGTTTAAAATTAATTAGATAATTTACACAGGAACTCACATTTAGCATGTTTGTACAAAATGTGACACCTGGCGTATGTAGCGCCCACTGGTTTTTGATGAGAAATTAAACTGTTCTTATTATGCTTTGTTTATTTTTAGTGTACAAATAAGCAAAAGCTGAAGTCAAACACATTCTGTAGTCTTCCAACAGAAGGCACCAGATGAGTGTAGCTAACAATCATAACTAGGGTCAGCTAGATCTGTATTTACTGCTGAGTAGGAAGCAAATCATTCAGCCACAGAAACACCCACACACAGAAATGCTACAGAAACACAAGTCTGTATTTTACCTTTTGCTTCCACTTCAATTATTTTAAGACATTAAAAAATTAAAAACATATAAAAGGTAAACATTTTCAGAATTGTATCTGCACACTAAATGTCTCCAGAGACTTTCACCTGTTCGTGTTTTCCAGCCGCTGACTTAATCGAATTAGCATGGATGTTAAGCACACTGCACAGTCATAGCTTCCTCCTGTAAACCCCACAGGCAGGAGCGGGTAAACACAGATTTGAGTTATTTGATGCAGAGGGACTCCGACCCAGAAAATAGGGAAGATTTTGGAAGCGTGGTTGAGTGCATGTAATTGCCACTCCACTCCACTGTGTTCCTCTTTTGTCCCACCGGGTATCTGAGGGTAAGTGGGCCGTCTGAGGGATCGTCCCTCATGCCAAGGTGGCCTTAGGAGAGCTCACCATCATTAAACAAGGACAATGACCAGTCTGTAGAGGTTGACTGAGCCATCCCATTTAAAGTGCATATGTGTCACTCTTTTAGAGATTAAACATAAGATATGTCAGCGTCCGCAACGTGCTGGCATCATATTAAAGTGGATTCAATCTTAATAGAAATCTCTATAAACGGCCAGAGGCGATGTGCTGAAGCACTCGGGTCAAATCATGAATGTGATGAGGTAGACGGACTGAGCAGATCCTAAACGCTGCGCCTCCTGTTGTGGATCATCGCCACAATGTGGGAGAGGTCCAGACTTTTCATCATCACCTCCATGAAGTCTTCGTCGCTACGAGCTCCGGCCACAAACTCCTCCAGGGAAAGTTCACCTGTTGGAAGAGAAACGTGATGAATTTAGACATAATAGTTCAGCTTCCAGAGGTTCATAGGAGCCCTCCGCTGACTGAGCATTACACTCCTGGAACAGTGTTAGATTAATGAAATGATATGTTGATTGAGAGGTGATTTGTTTAGCTTTATAAGTCATAACCAATTATTTCAACAGTTTTTCCCCCATTTTTAATTAAAAATGTTATTTTTTTTTAAAGTTTTGGTACATTATTACAACAGTGCAACAGGAACATAGCAAAAGTGGATTTTTATGAGGCCCAACAAGTTTCTTTCTTTCTTTCTTTCTTTCTTTCTTTCTTTCTTTCTTTCTTTCTTTCTTTCTTTCTTTCTTTCTTTCTTTCTTTCTTTCGTTCTTTCGTTCTTTCTTTCTTTCTTCACAATAAACCAATTTCATAACACGTGCATAATCATCATACACATACTACATATGCATGCGTACCTAACACTGATCCACCAATTCATTTCATTTCAGTTCATAATATTTAATGATTTCTAGCCTATTTCTTACACTAATTACACGTTCATTTTGTGCTGTTAAATTTTTCCTAAATCCGCATTTGCATTTTTAACTTGTCCTTGGATGACCTTAAATATTAAAATCCACGATTAAATACAAATATAAGAAAACAAAATACAATGAGGAACAATACAAGTGAGGGTTGTCACATCATTATGTGTAATTCAATTCACCCTCTTTCAAACCCACATTTTAACACCATTCTTGCTGCCTTGTTTTAGGATTGCATTTTAATAATAGTGTCCAATTCATGTTGCAGCAAAAGGAGAGATATTATATATTTTATTATTCCATGTCTTCTTCTTCTTACTGTTAAAAAGGGGTCTCCTACATCACCCCTAATGCAACTCAATCTGCAGCAGTGCCGTTGGAGTTTCAGATGAGTTGTGCAAGTAAATGTTTATACAACTTTTCTCACAGTATCCTAAATAAGTTACTCTATGTAAATTATAGACGCGCATTATATTAAACTAAATATTTAGTTGTGTCGTAGTTATGAGACAATGTACAATATGCAGGTGAGGTAGGAATGGGAACACTGCCTGAAAGTCTTAATATTTAAAAGAGTTGTTTGTTATCAAAGTAATTCAAAAATGAATGAGACCTGCCCTTGTTGGAGGCGTTGGAGACTTATGATCCTATAAACCTCCTCTGTAATCGACACCGATGCCTGGCAACATGATATTTTCAGCTTCATTGCATAGATGAGCCTTTCAATCAGGTGGATGTTGGTCATAATTAGCTCCTTTTATTTACTTTTATGGATAAGTTTTAAAGTCGAGGGCAAAAGTTGAATCTTTTTTAAAGTGTTTTAGGTTAGTTACTGTGTTTAGCAGCCACAATGCCCATCTTCTTTCTATTCCTGTGTTTTCAGACTGGAGATAAATGTCTAGCTGTCCACCCACCATCGATTTCCTCCTAAACCTCTTGTTTCCACACGCTGCCAGCACACACTCACCATCTCCATTTATATCAATCCTGTCAAACACGCGGTTGGTGAAATCCTCCGCAGTTGTGTCCTGACTTTCATTTCCATTGATTGCACGGATGGCCTGGAGGGGGAGAATAAAAACCAGCGTGTCACACCGAGGCCAAGATTTAGTTGAAAGCGCAGTGTGGCAGGTGCACGATGGGCTCAACTGTACCTTAATGATGTTCAGGAGTTCATGCCGGTCGATGCAGCCGTTTCCGTCCACATCATAAAGTTTGAAATACCAGCGCAGCTTGTGCTCCATCTTTCCGCGCATCACCAGACTCAGAGCAGCCACATACTCCATGAAGTCTATGTAGCCGTCCTGCAGAGACCAGCAGGGGACATTAAACTGTCGAACATCTAACTGTGAAAGTCAGCTAATTGTGAAACTATTTTCAGCCATTTAAGGTTATAATGTCACCAAAAAGGCCACACACAGGGGAAATGAAGCACGCCAGGCCGGAGGATTATCTGCAGGGATTGTCAACGTCTTAACAATCTTGGCATCAAGCTATTGTCTCACAGATAATCTCACTGTTCAGATCGTGCTCAGAGATTACCGAAGCCTTTTGTGTGCTGAGATGGAGACCAAATATAGCTTCTCAGACAAACATCCTGCCGTGACCCTCTAGGTCGCACGGAGATGCTCTCAATTAAATGTGATCTAAGGGTCAAAAAGGGTCAGGTTGTCTCCGGGGGGGTGACCTGTGCGTTCGAGGAAATCCTTGGCTGATTCAGAAGTTTTCAAATCTGGGCTGGAAGAAGTTTTCCACGCTTGGCTTTAAGTGTAGCATTAAACCCGTAAAAATAAAGAAGATCCATCAGATGTTCTTATCTGTTTCAGTGCTCAAACAATTCATCACGAAATTGATCTGCAAAAATTTCCTCATGCATGATTGTCAGAGTATTTTGGCCCTAAATGTGCAATCTATCAAAGAATTTATTTAGCCAGAAGCCTGACATTGAGATAGCAGACATCTCTTCTTCCAGCAACAGGTTTCCTTTAACGCACTTTGCAAAAGACACTTAAAAGATATTCAAAGTGTCTCTAAGGCAATGATATTTTTCCACTGACTTTATGCTCATATACATTTATAGAAAGAGAAAGCAGTTTGAACAACCTTTAGAAGGATTTGAATCATCTATCTAGTGCTATGAAGAATAAAAGGCTGGAGGTATATAGAGGTAGTTAGCGACGTCTTTTTCTCTGATATAAAAGGACCATAGTAAAGATTCATATAACAATTCAATGGCGAGTGTGTGAGTCTGCACTTTTTAACAAATGTAATGCAGCACATATGGACAATCCACTTTTTTAAAGTAGAGCTGAAATTACATGCATGTAAATCACATCACCGTCATCCACAGAAATGAGCATTTGCACAGTTTCTTCAAATGGAAACACAAAAGACTTTAAATGATAAAACTTTTACTTGTGCATTTTAAAAGCTCACCTATTATGCCTCGGTATTTGTAAGAAGTGACTATCAAACTGTTCTCATGTCGACATCGTGGGATCAGCTGCCTCAAAGAGACTGAAGGTCTTGTATTTGAATTTCCTACCAGATTTACATTTTTCCAGTAAAAGCTGCATCCTGCAAGATGTCTGCAGATGCAAAATGTCAAACATCTATTAGAGTAAATAATTCATCAATTATCAGAAAAAAAGAATGTATCCTGAAAATAATCATCACTTGTAATGCTGATTTATTTTCCCAGTCTGCTTCGTCTGTTCTATGAATAAAGATAAATAACTCTAAAGTTATAAATACGGTTAGCCGAGTCCTCGGTTCTCAGAAAATTTAGAACTGATTAATTATTTAATTGGTGAAGTAATGAGCATATGTGTTAGAATTTGATGCTTTTCTCTGTTTTTTAAATTTGTGAATTCAACATCTTTGCAATACAAACAGCATAAATAAGCATTTTGAAGATGTCTACAGCATTTTCATGAACATTTTGCGCCATGGATTCAGAAATGAACCAAAATAATAACAGATTAGTTGCAGCCTTAATCATCAATTTAAGTGACCTATATGTTCAGAAAAATAAAACAAATAAGTAAATAAAGTATAAATGTAACAGAAACTTTTATTTTCATAATTTAAAATTCACTGTTGCAGATTTTTAATCAGGGTTGACCTTGGTAAAAAGATTTTCTAGTACTTTTAGAAAAAAACATAATTAGCAAAAGGACAAAAGTACCCAAGATGCATTGGAAATAAGTAATTAAACACTTACTTTAGTTTTAGAAATAATTGGAACATTAAAATGCACTTTTTGCAAAGAAAAACAACTAAGTAATAAAATCCCACAATCATTTATTTTACTTTTAAACATGACACATTGTAGGAAGTCTGTAATTAAGAATTACAGTGTTTACTAAATCTGAATGAGATAAAATGGATTATCCTTCAAACCAGACCTCTTCTTATATCTTCTCATTCATGTGTTATTTTGTTCCTAAGAAGTAATTAAAAAGACTTACCACAAGAACCAAAGCGACAAGACATTTTAAAAGGTTAAAGTCATCTATGATTTAACTTTGCAGGTTAAATTCTTACCTTGTTCATGTCAAACGTGCGGAACATCTGCTCGATGTAGGCGTTGGCCTCGGGGTCCAAACCTCTTAGCCCGAAGAACTGCTTGAACTCGTGCAGGGTGAGCTGACCTGAGGGGCACTCAGTCATGAACTTCTTGTACCACAGGTGCATCTCCACCGCCTGCAGGTCGTCCACAGTGCTGCCTGATGTGTTTCCCATTTCGCCTGAGTGGAGCTGTTCACGAGCTGCTGCTGCTGCTGCACAAACCTCACAGCCCAGATTGGTCTACTGTGAAGCGGAGGCTCTCCCTCTTCACAGTCACACAACAGCAGGACCTTTAGGGTGAGAGTGGCAGCTGGCAGGAGCCTTTTGTAGCTCGCTGTATTTGGGGTTGAGGTGATCCCGCCCCGCTGTGCTCTCCTTTTGTCTAATCATGGGATGTAATCCAGGCAAACAGGCAGATGATCAGCTTAATCATCCCATTAAAAGGGCAGGCTGACTGTTCCGCCTCGACCCTGAGATTTGCTGACAACCATATTAGAGGTTTCATCCCTCACGTGTACACACAGGATGCACAACACTGTCATGTATCCTAACTGATGGGATACATGTTGCTCAACATGTGGACTCGAGTATGAGTGGTGCAGCTTTAATGCTCTTGGTGAAGGATACAAAACAAAGCTGCTAATCCCACCAGCGCTGCACATATTCCTCCTCTAGCACAGTGCTTAGGCCAATTAATCTCAGTTTATGTGGGTTTATTTAAATGTTAAACCTTCTGTGTACTGCAGACACCCAGGAAATGATTCAGACTGGAGACAATTGGTCCACAAGATCAAAACAAAGCTAAATGAAATGTTTGATGCTTGCAGCCTTTGTTTAAAACCTATCTTCTCAATCAGCTTCACACTATGGCTGATTTTTTTTGGCGGTGCTTCATGGAAACAGTATGAACAATTTCCCATCATGTCTAAGCTCTTGTGACTGGTTTTAAAGGCGTGTTCTGGTTAGAAACCTTGTTTAAAATGCAACCTTATTATCATTGCACAACAAAATGCAATCTTTCTGCACATCCCAGCTTGTTAGGAAGGTGGAGTCGGAGTGCAGGGTCAACTACACTGTGGCAGCAGATAGGGTTAAGGGTCGGGCTCCAACAGCGGCCGGTTGGTGGACTTAAACGCCGGTTGAAGTTCTGTGAAGTTTAAAGCTTTAACTGCTGAACCATAGCAGCCCTAAAATCACAGTACTTTGCAGAAACCCAGGATCGAACCAGGGACCTTCAGATCTTCACTCTAACGCTCTCCCAACTGATCTATTTCGGCCTGTTCAAGCTGCTTATATGGTGGTGAAGAAAAACTTTTTTAGACAGCAGATTAACACAATACCCAGTCAGCACCGTGGCTTTTCTACCTTACAGGTAACGTACGGATGACAGTCTCAAAAACACAGATTCAGACTTCTACAGTTTCATGTGTAACAAACTTGAGGAACCATCCTGTCAGCCTGCAGGATGGAGCTTTCTGAGCGATTGTTCTTCTTTATAATCTGTTTCTGGTTTGACCATGTGGGGCAGCATTACTCCAATATCACAACTTGCCATTGTTAAGTGTTGAGTAGTGGGACAGGGTTTCAGCAGAGCTGTAGGTGAACTGGTCTGCTTGAGCTGCAGTGAATCAGAAGTGGTGGGTGAATGGGCTGTAGAGCTACATGTGCGGACCTTGGGTGAAGCAGCCTGTGACTGAAGGAGCTGCCCAGTGTTGTCATAGTCTCATGCAGAGGGTGGGACGGGTTCTCTAACACAGATGATAGTTTAACAGAATCCTCCTGTCTCCCACCATCTCCACTGGGTTGAGGCGGCATCCCAGGACAGGGCTGGCTCTTTACAAGCTTGTTGAGTCTCTTCCTGTCTGCTGCAGAAATGCTGCCATACCAGACAGGCGTAAACAATGACATGACAGCGTCTTACGTCAGTATTTTGTAGTCTTGTGCCTTCCTATCTGTTAATGTGGCTGCATGCTGTTCACACTTGTGCTGCATTGAAAGTGACACCTTGTTACTTGGTCTGACCTCGTACAGCTGCCGTTGCATCATTTATGTGAAAGTGGCAGCGTGCTCATTCACATATGAAGTCAACATGCTCAGATGCTGTCAGGTTAATGTGAAGGAGTGGGTGTCTAAAAAAAAGGGGCGACAGTTGACTGAATACATTACTTGTTTTGATTATTGTTTGGGGCTGCAAGGTGGAGCAGTTGGTAGCACTGTTGACTCGCAGTAGGAATGTGGCCGCTTCGCGTCCTGGTGAGGACACCCGGGATCTTTCTGCATGGAGTTTGCACGTTCTCCCCGTGCAGCGTGGGTTCTCTCCGGGTTCTCCAGCTTCCTCCCACAAGGTCCAAAAACATGTTGAGGTTAATTGGTGATTCTAAATTGTCCATAGGTGTGAATGTGAGTGTGCTTGGTTGTCTGTCTCTAAGTGTAGCCCTGTGATAGACTGGTGACCTGTCCAGGTGAACCTGCCTTCACCCTGAGTCAGCTGGGATAGGCTCCAGCCCCCTGAGACCTGAGTGAGGATTAAGGTGTATAGATCATGGATGGATGATTGTTTGGTTATAAAGAATTTGAAAATCTCACTTTGGACCTTGAAAATCTTACAGATTTCAGTGTTTCTGAAATTTTATAAACTCAAGATGTGATAAGAAAAAAAAATCTGAGGATCAGTCAGACTATCTGCAGCTTTACTTGTGTTTAATTCTGCAAATAAACATGATGACTTAAATCTGTTTGATAGAGAAGTTTATTTGGATACCACAGACTAAAGCCAAGAAGGCATTACAGTTTGAGTTAGTGAAATTAATATCAAAACACTGCAGAAAGCTGTTAGATTTCAATGTAAAAACCATAAAATAATCTGACATTCATGTCTAAGTGCTTTAGTACGGAATTAAATGTAGCATCGTTGTTACTGTGATCTCGTAATCATACTCAGAAGTATAACTGTGCTGGGTTCAGCAGCTGTGAGTGTGTTAGTAATTTTAACAGCATGTTCATACAACTGTGTAATGTCATAAAAATAACAAATATATAGTGTACATGTCTACATTTAAGCTTCATTCTAAATGTGCTAACAGTTAAAATATAAGTGTAAATACAAAAGTAAACATACAATTAAAAATAAAACTTCATTTGTAGATCATTGTACAGCAACATTCCAGGAATGATGAACCGAGATATTAGTTGCCTCTGGCTTACATTCAGCAGGAGTGTTTGTTCTTCTTTCTCGGAATAAAACTTGAAATGTTAGTTTCAGACATACACAGGAAACTCACAAGGAGGACCATCTCCACAGGTTAAAGGTGACTGGACTAGCCTGTCCTTACCAAAAAATAACATTTAAAAAGTACGGCACAAATGTCAAAATTGTATTTATCTGCTGATGTCATGGTAAAGTCTTTGTTTAGCTTTGAACAAAAACCTACTTCGACTGTAGTGCAATAATGGAAAATGGAAAAGGCATATAGTATCTATGCTTCCAATGTATTTTTGTTTGCATTACCCTGTGACACATTTCCTTAACAGTCATATGAGCAGGTGTAATGCATTACTGGCAGCAGCTCCCCCCCATAGCCTGATGTATAGTTTTCAACATTTGTAGAAAACGTCTCCTTACCTGAACATGGAATATTCACATTATCTAACCATAAAATACAAATATATCACCTACAGGACTACATAACAAATGGCTATGCTTTAAGAGCTTAAAAAGGTAAAAAGCTTTTTTTCTAACATCAGTAAGGCCTCATTTTCTTTCTTCATAACTCTGTTTTCCTTCAGCTTTTGTCAGCTTCACTTCGCTGCAGTTTTATTTTTGGCTTCTTGCCAATATGACACAGTTGAACAAGGAAATAATAAACATGAAGTCACTGTGGCTCCGTGTCAGGGCTCAGGCAGATCTCTCTGGCCCCACCAGCAACACTTTTCCTCTTCCCCCAGTGCAGATGTCTGTAGATGGAGTCAAAAACCGACACGGTGTAGCGGGCAAACAGGCTGGTCCACTTCACTGCGTCCACCATCCACTGAACCGAGCGCCCCACAAAGGCCACGAACACTGTGGTGTAATGGGCCAGCAGCAGCAGACTCCTCCCCAGCTGCCTGCCGTGGTTGATGATCAGGTTGACTCTTTGGTCTTTTCCTGCCATCATTATACTGTATTGTGTACGTTTCCAGAAGTAAAAAAATGTCAAACTGTGTGTATTTTTGGCTCAAAGGCTCATTTTTCGTTTTTTTTCTTTTAAAGACGTAGGTATTTATGCAGATACTCCCTGGAGAAGGAGTAGACGGCTGTGAACTTGCAGACGGTCCCTTAGAGATCCCGACTGTCCAATCAGAGCAGAGGAAGCTCTGTTTCCGGGAATGTTTGGTGATGTGGCTCTGCTCTGAAATCCATCCGAGGAAATATATCAAATAAAATCCAGACACATTCACCTGGGGAACACTCGCACAGGTGAGTCAAAGGTTCTTTCTTTTAAAAACACACCACAGACTGTGCTGCATTACACCGCTGTCACGCACGGAGGACAAACACAGAGCGAAGCAGCTTTTAAAGACGCTGTCCTTATTTACCTGTTTCCAGCTTTAGCTCGCTAAGTAGCCCGAGCTAACTTACTCTATCGTGGAAACCACAGTCACGGCACACGACGGATGTTTTCACGGAGCATCCTGTTCACGCCACCGACTCTTCATCTTGAGACACGTCTATTCATTTTTGAAGACGTCAGTGTCCAGCAGCTCTGGAAGTTTGCCGTCCATTATTGCGTTAGCTAGCTATAATCTTTGCTGTTCGCATAAAGAGTGACGCAGCCGCAGTGGAGAGTAAGGCTGGTTCGGAAGCACTCGGCTCTGTCCGGTGACACTCGGAGAAAATACGTTGGGGTCGTCTGCCAATGTGTTGCCCTTGAATATTTTTTTTTTTTATATAGTGAAAGCACTGTTTGTTTAGGTCAATATAAGTCGTCTAACTTTCATCACACAAGCTATTTTTTGCACACGTTATTACAATAAACACGGTTGTAGATTTATTTATTTTTTGCTTTAAGCCCCCAGAGTCGCAAATCCTTACATGTAATCTAAAACTATTAGCTTCCATATCTTAAAAAAAACAAAAACACGTTTCAATGTTGAGACTGATTGTTTCAAAGCTTTTTCTTTATAATTTTCCAGGCTTTTTTGTATTGCATTTTGAAAAGTAATTTATTATGCCATTTTAAAAAAAAAAGTCTCTTGCTGTATTCTGCTGGTGCAAAAACAAAACCAATACGCTTCTTTAGCTGCAACAATCAGGCAATTAGGAATTTTGAAATTCAACCTTAATGACCGTAATGCATCTGTAATACACTGTGTACACAAAACGTTACACCCATGACCTCAAAGACAACACTGCCCCCATTGAAAGCCATTAAAATAATGAAATCATGCATTCTGTGTTATTGGCCTTTTATTAATGAGCTATGGGTTCTAAATATTATGTTTATTTATTTATTTGACTTTTTTCCTTTATTTTTTATTTTCGGCCTATGAAGCAAATACATTTTTTTTATTTGTTTACTCTGCTTTGTTCTAAAGCACTGCAGGTCAGTTGATTAAATGTGTACAGCTGAAGTGGACTGGACGTGTTTGTAGAGATGTCATAGTGTGATCTGCATGCATATACTGAGAAATATGTGTCAGACTATGTCTAGTTTTTTATTTATAATTTCTTGTCTTTTTGTGCATAGGTTTGAAATGTAATTTATTATGCCATTTTAAAAAGGTTTAGGACACTGTCATGTGCTCGTGCAGAAATAAAGCAAATATGCTTCATGAGCTACAGAGACGAGTCAAATAGCAAGTTTATTGAAAAATAGTAAACTAATCACAAAAGCAAACATTGCAAAAAAGGTGCAATTTTCAACATTTCAACCTCACAACATTTTTCCCTTTTCCCAGTAAACTGAAGATCAGGAGGTTTTGATGCTTGCGACTTTTGCTAATAATCTGCTTTCTTAATCAGCTTCAATTATAATTGTGGTCCTGCCTGAAAGCAATATTTTCTGATAAAGTTCTGTCCATTTTACGTCACGTCATGACTCTTCTCACTGATTTTAAGTGGCTGTGGGTCAGATGAAAATCTACATTTGATAGCTGCTGGTGAGCTGTTTGGTTGCTGACAGTGGAATTTGATGAAATGACAGACACACACAAAGGTGTCCTGGTAGCTCAACTCGTTGAGCAGGCAGCCCATAAACAGGGGCTCGTCATGGGATGTAATCCGGCCCATGGCCATTTGCTGCAGGTCCTTCCTCTGCACTCTCTCCTGCATTCTTGTCTTCCTCTGCTATCCTGTCTGATAAAGCTGAAAGGCAAAAAAATAAAAAAAAAATAAAAAAACTGTATAAAAAGAAACCCATTGATTTTTTTCGTCAGCTATTGTAGAGCTATTGTAAACCTTTTGGATCTGAGTTTTCATAGAATCTTAAATATTTTCTGCGAATTTAGAAACCAGCTCACCAAGGTTGGCTCAAAAGTTGAGATGAAAAGTTCATTCTTGACCTTAGAAATCTCAGTCTAGTCTTAAAACACGTTTTATTACCTCAGTTCCTGGTACAGTTTGATGACAATAGGGAGAGCTCGGCTTCTTTGTAGTGGGATCGAGTTGCTAGCTGCTGTTTCCAAGGCCTGGCATGGACTTTAATCTCAAATATAAAAAACTGTTCCTCCTCTTTTCTCTTCCTGCATGCGCATACAAAGTAAAACAAATATGCTTTGGACTGTGTTTATATTCACACCTTCAGAAGACATGTCATTCAGCATCGGCACCTTGGAGTTGTATTTAGTCAAATGTGTGCACATCCTACACTGTTTACATTTTGTACTGTGAATTACAAACATTACATACGTTTTTATGTTACAGTAGAGAGAATTTATAATTATGCTTGCCACTGAAATTATACTAAGGCTGCACATCGATGGAGGACGCAGGAGAAATTTGGCAACTGCAAAAAGATCATGAAAAATACATAATCATTTTATCTTCAGCAAACAGGGAAGAGCTTGCACAGGTGCAGGATTCATGTGTCAGACGTTATTAATGTAAGTCCACACAGAGGCCTTAAACTCGTGATTTTTTTTCCCCCCGTCACAGTGCCATCTTTATGTTCAGCCGTCTGGCCACAGTCCTCCAGGAGCTTTCTGGAGAGGAGGGTGCAGATGGAGACCCACAGGTGAGATAGTAACACATTACAACAGCTTATAATGAAAAGCAATTCCAACTGTGTCCCCAGCCTTTAAATAGTATGTGTAGATTCTATATTAAGGAAAATCATACTTCAAATACAGAGGCAGACGGGGAAAGGAAACGCCTGCATGTCTTTGGTCTTTTGAAATGAAGATAAGATTAGTCAGTGCAGGCGTTTTATCTCTAATGACTTTTACAGCTTGATATGCAAGATGTGCAAATATGTCGTGCAAGATGTTAAAGAAATGCATGTCCAGTGACTTCAAACGTCATGCTGGTATAACTCTTGTGGTTCAGAGTGTTTGCATATCCACCCTTTTCTCTCCCACATTCTAGGGCAGCACCATGATTTAGTGTGTAAATTATACAAAGTTGGGGCACTCAAGAAAATGAACGATCAAAATCGATGCAGCAGAAGCAGAAATATTCTGAGTTTTACTCCCTTGTTTGAGTCTTTATGCCCTCATTTGCATGACCATAAATTTGAACAACCTTTATAGCATTGTCAGGGTCATTTCCTAAAATTTCACAAAGCTCTGGCCTGTATTGTTTCCTTGTGCAGGGCATGCTGGTGCCTCAGCTCCCTGCCGGTGAGGGCCAGGCCCCAGCGGAGTCTGAGGCACCTGAGGAGGCCATGGAGAGGCTGGCCCACCTGGAACAGCTGGTGGTCCAGCTGAAGGAGCTCATTCGTGACAAAGACACTCTGCTCATCCAAAAGGACACTGAGCTGACCAACAAGGATGCACAGCTCAAGGTAAAAAGCTTGCTGTCAAATCTTTACTCAGACTTTCAGTTCACTCCAGCCAACATCTTTTAAAGCTGAGTACACATTTTGAGTGTTTTTTTTCTTCTTCTTCATATGGACAGAATGAGAAAGACGAAGCTGAGGCCCGTTTCACCAAACTCAAACTGCAGGCCAAAGCCAAGATGGCATCACTCAACAAACAGATAACTGATTTGAAAGGACAAGGAGGAGCAACGGTGAGTTTTGTCTTCTTTACATGCTTGTTGGGTTATTATGATTTCATGTGTGTCTGTAGTTTGCTTTCACTCCAAAACTCTTGACATTATTTGTTACGTGTGTACAATGCAGCATATTTTCATTCATGTATAATTTGTAGAGTAAGATATGCACCGCTTCACCACAAGCTAACAATAAAACCCCACCTGTTTATTTTTTCTGACCGGAACAACTGTTTTTTTCTGCAGCAGAGTCCAGACAGCTCTTTCACAGGAGCTGCAGTTGAAGAGGAGCTCCAAGAAGTGAAGACCAAGCTGAGCGAGGAGGAAGCCACCAGCAGGGAGCTGAAAGAGCGACTTGAGGCCACCGAACAGCTCCTTCAAGAGAAGGAGTCTGTACATGCTGAGCAGGTGACATTACTGTATCTTCAGTTGCTCAAAGTCTTTGTCTGTTAACAAAGGCAAAGTTTTAAATTAGATTTTGTTGGTTGTGTTTTTGCTTTTAGCTGTTGAAGCTGCAGGCTGTGGTCTGTGAGAAGGATGTACGTTTCCAGGAACAGATTCAGAAACATGAAGAGGAGCTGCTGAGAGTCACAACGAAGTCTCAGGATGACAGTGAGCTTCAGCAGGTACAAGACAGTATTTAATAATGATGACTGACTTCTTCATTTATAGTTGAACAGATTGACCTTTAGTCTTTCGTAGGTATTTGACTTTTCTTCTCAAAACCTCTAATCTTACTCATCTTTCTACATCTAAGAATTTATCGTCATTATCAGTTAATCTGGTGATTATTACTGTATTTAACATTTTCAGAGAGAATGCAAGAAGACGTGTGTATTTTTTTTAAGCAGTGATTAACCAGTTATCAGAACTGTTGCTGATTGATTGATTGATTGAAACGGTACAGTCATCCTAAATATTGCTTAGTGTTTGTTATTCAGAGGATCCCCATAAGCTTCATCTCAGATGGTTGCTTGCCTTCCCTGAGTCCAATTTTATCTGTATGACTAAAAATCACAATACTGACCAGGAGGGCTACATACCTGCTATCTTGACCCCCTTGTTTTGACCACAAAATGAAAAATTAAAGCCTTTTATTTAACGAAAAAAAAGGGGGAAGCTTGGTCTCAAAAGGATGGAAATGATTGGGGCTAATGAGAGGAGTGAAGGATAACATCTTTAATTAATGTTTGATGAATAGCAAATATTTTGAAGTATGCGTTGACAGTGCTGTCTTTATTTCATCTTTCTCAGGCCCTGCATGCTGCTCAGCGACGCTGTGAAGAGCTTGAAGAGGCCTTAAGCTCTCGCTCCCAAGTGCTGGAAATGCTGCAGCAGGAAGTGAGCAGTGCTGATCAGCAGAAGCAGGTACAGGTCCTGTTGGACGAGATGCCAGTGACGCAGCTTCTTTTATTGTTTTGATGTTGATGTTGATGTTGTTCGATGCATTGGCAGATGCCTACGATGACATGAAAACTATTCAAACGCAACACTCCCTCCATCTATGGCATGTCATTGTGAGGTATTGTTTGGCTGACAAACCACAAAATCACACCCACACATCTTCTCTCTCTCTTTGTCTCCTTCTCTTTCTGCTCAGATCTTGACTGCTCAGTTCCGGCAGATGGAGCAGGAGCTGGCCGAGGCTGTGAAGCTGAGGGAGGAGGACAGGCAGCAGTGGGCCGAACAGGCCGGCCGGGCCGATGCAGAACTCACAACCCTCAGAGCCAGCCTGGAGGCCTTGGAAAGCGAAAGAATGGAGGTGGCAAGGCAAGAAAGCGAACTGGCCTCCCTCAGAGAGGCAGAGCGTGTTAGTCAGGAGGCTCTGGAGAAGGAGAAGATGGACGTCGCCAGATTGGAGACACAACTGACTCTGATGAAAGAGGCTGAGCTTGCAGCCCTTCAAGCAAGCAATGAGGCCTCGGAGAGAGACAGGGCGGAAATCGCTCGACTTGAAAGTGAGCTTGCATCAATGAGGGAGGCAGAGTCTGCAGCTGTCCACGCCGGGCAGGATGCCTCAGAGAGCGAGAAGTCAGATAAACTGGAGAAAGAGCTGGAAACCCTGAGGGCAGAGCAGGAAGATGCACAGAAGAAGGGCGAGATTTTGGCTGAGCTCTGGAAACATCTACGTTTTCTGGCTGTGGAAAATGTGCCTGAGGAAATCCCTGTCCCTGCTGACCTGTCACTGCTGCTGGACGCTGTACAGTCTGCTGAGACACAACTGACAAGGCTGAAAGACGAATGCAGAGAAAGTGAGGAACGCTGTGCCCAACTCACCCACACCATGGAAACCCTTCAGGGTATGAGCCTCTTTCAAGGATTCAGTGTGTTGATGTCAAACCGTAATCTTTTTTACTGACCATTATGAACATCTGACTTTCAGAACAACTAGACAGAAAAACTACAGAAGAGGAGGAAGCCACTGCAAAAATACAGCAGCTGGAGCAGCAAATTGTTACGGTCAGTACTGAAGCTGTTATCACATGTGATCTGTATCTGCATACAGTATGAGGATTATCTGCCTGTGTTCCTTTATGCAGTTTTATTGCTCTTTGTCCTCACCGTGTGGGACAGCAGGAAACATGCTGCAAAATCGTCTGTAAGCTGAGTCAGACCCACAGCTGCTGCTGTTTTTGGTGCTAGCAAATAAAAATGGAAAGAATTTACATCCTAAACACAGCTTTTGCATTTCTACGTAATATTAATACACATTCACGTCATCACCTTTATGCCTGCACTGTAATCAGGCCTCAGTATGCAAACTGATTGGTCAGTCAACAAAAATGTCAAACGTGTGGTCGAAGACAGCAAAGCAGGGGTGAGAGTCTTTGACTTTTGTTAGGGAAGACTTACAGCTACTGCTACTACTTGTAGCTTTTGAAAAGTTTGCTTCAGCATATAAGAGGAGTCAGAGTTCTGTGACAGATTCCTGGCAGATTTTTTCTAATATTTGATTCTCTGATCTTTATTTAGAACTCTTCTTTACTCCTGATGTTAGCAATGATTTTGCTTATCTATCTATCTATCTATCTATCTATCTATCTATCTATCTATCTATCTATCTATCTATCTGTCTATCTGTCTATCTGTCTATCTATCTATCTATCTATCTATCTATCTATCTAAAATAGTAACAGTCCTAAATAAGCTCAATGATGACCTGTAAGCTTTATCATCTATGCAAAGCTTAAACTTTGAAGTTTCTTAATGCGTTTGTACTGAATCTTTGTTATCCTGTCTCTCATCGTTTGATTAGAAAAGGTATTGAAGCAGAGCTGGAATATTAATATCAGCTGAGGAATAAGAATAAGTACTTCTTAGTTGACTACAAAGTCAGACAGCCGTCTCATGTCTACTCTTTCCCTCCCCCATCTGTTAAAACACAATTTGCAAAGTCACCCTTTATTATGAGAGCAGGGCAGTCGGACAGGTCTGATCCTCCAGACCTGGTCCAGAGACGGAACTGCAGTCTGGACAGGTGATCTCCATGTGTCTCAGACAGGACAGAATCAGGGTCATACAGCAGACAGACAGCGCTGCAACCCAGTGTGAGGATGTAATCCCCTCTGCACTGATCCACTGCCACGACTGACTGAGCCGACCTTCACCTCACACTGCAGCCTGATACAAAGCGCTGCTGGTAGAGATTTAAACTGAAAGAGCAATCACAGAGGCCTTCTTTTTAAATACGCCTTCCATTTATTTTATTTGTATGTTTTAGTTTTTAATTATGCTTTATCTTTTCTGTTTCATTTCATCTTTTATTTTATTTCCGCTTTTTAAATGTGGTCTGGCTTCATTTAATTACCAAGCTACATTTTGTTGATAGCTGTATAAATAAAGATGAATACTGTGAAGTTTTTATTCTTACAGACAAACATTACTTTGCATTATATTATAAAACATGGGATCATAAAGTTTCTAACCTGTCTCATTTGTGGTTTGTCTTTTTTTTTTTCTTTCAGATGTCAGACACAAATGATGTGACTCAACCAGTACAGGATTTATTGGAAGCTGACAAAGGTACAAGAACTGAACTCCTAAAATATAGGCACTCGTGATACAAAGACAGAATCAAACTCAGAATCAGTGTGATGGAAATTTGTTACAAAAAAGTGCAGTAATTCTACATTTGTTAGTGCGGGAGGAAATGGGACCAAAATTAGAGCCTGAATTTAACACAATAAATTTAATGTTCTTAATAAATTATTGTTGGAATAACTCAACAGTGTAATAAAGACAAATCAGAATTCATCTTTTATTTGAACTGTAATACATTAGGATGGACACTTTATATAAATATCCTAAAAATCACTCTGGGATCAGTAAAGTTTTCCATGTTTTTGGCCTTTCAATCTTCGTTAAAGGAAAAGTCACATCAGGTTCTGTGTGTCCTTCTGTATCTATAGATTTCCTAAAGTGCAGTATGTCAGTGCACAGTAGTCTTAGATTAGACGAAGGTAATAAAAATAGCAAAGCTGTGTGAACTTTGAAGTATTGTAGCAGCGCACACCCTCTATTCAAGTGTTCGTTCTTTGAATGACTATACTTGATTCAGAGTTGTTCCTGCTTATGTAAAACAACATGTACTTTCTCTAGACATAAAAATTGTACATTCTTCTGTTTATATTTTATCTGTGCTGACTTTCACAGCACACATTCTGGCACTGGAGCAGCAGCTGTTAGAAAAAGACAATGAGCTGGCTGCCATGCAAGAATCCCTCGTTTTGGCTACGAAGCACAGCTCCAGTGAGGCTGCATCGTGTGAAAACTATGATCAGAGCCCAGATCAGGATGCCAGCATGGCTCCGCTTGATAGCTCTGCAACCCTCCCTGACTTCATGGAGGATACACGAGAAGAAGAGACCACCTTAGTTGCTGAAGACACCTCCATGCTCTCCATTTCTGCTGGTAATGAAAGTAGCCCAGAGCTAATTGGACACCAGTCTGAGTCCCCAGAAGAATCTAAAGGCACCTCCTCAGATGAGATGGTCGCCAGTAGTGATTCAGAGGTGGCCCACAGCAGCTGGACCCTCCTGGAAGCTGTGAATCAAGACGGAGGTCAAGAGTGGCCCTCCATCCCGCAGGACTTTAATCAGTCATGGGTGGCGACGAGCATGGAGCAGGAGACCTCCACAGTTCAAGTTGAGTCTTCGTCAGTCATCATCAGAGAAACAGTTGAAGTTCATCTAAGTCAGCAGAGTTCTTCCTCGACAGATGCTAACATGCTCTCAGGCCAGATCTTCGCTCAGGCTTTAGCTGAAGAGCTCCAGAAGAGGTACAGCGAACTGTTGGCTGAGCTGCAGAGGCTCAAAGATGCAGCTGTAGAGTCACAGGACAAAATTAAGAATCTGGAAGAGGAAACACAATCTCTCACTGCTGCCAAAGAAGAGGCTGAGTCCAAAGCCACTAATTTTTCAGAGGAGCTCAAGTCAGCCAGAGAGGAGATGGATAACCGCTCCCAGCAAAGCAGCTCTGCGGTGGAGAAGCACAGTGTTGAAATGCAGCTTCTAGAAGAACAGGTAGACATTTTAAACACTGAAAATAGTGCCAAGGAGCAGAGAATCCAGGCTTTGCTGACAGATCTGGAAATGTCTCATCAAGCTCTCTCCGAGCAGGAGGGTCAGGCCAGGATGCTGAGCGCTCAGCTGGAAGACAGAGAACTCCTCTCGTCTGAGCTCGAAAGGAGGCTTCAAGATATGGAGAACAGCATAGTGGAATACTCCCAGACATCTGATCTCAATAATGAGTCTTTGTCAAGGAAAGACTCAGAGATCAGTGAGCTACACCTTCGCCTCAGCCAGAAAGAGCAAGAGATGATGGAGCTCAATGACAGTATGTCTGCTAAACTTCTTCAGGCAGAAGAAGAGAAGTTCCAGATAGACGGTGAAGTCAGTAAACTGAAGGAGCAGATAGTGGAACTTGAGAAAGTCAAAGACGAGAAACAAGACGCGACTGGTGAAGGCTCAGCTGCTCATGTAGATGATGAACTTGCTAGTTTACGAAAGGAGAAAGGAGTGCTGGAAACCCAGCTGACAAACGCAAAGAAAAAGTTGCAGGTGGCACTTGTGCAGCGTAAAGAGCTCATGAAGAAGGTCAGTGACTTTGAGTTAGAAGCTAAGAAATGGAAAGAGAAAGATGAAACAGCAACGGGAGGAATTTCTGAAAACATCCCAGAGGCAGAAAAACCTAAAGGGGATGAGGTTCAAGAGATGGAGGCTAAACTCATGGAGCTCAAGCAAGCTTTGAAATCCAAAGAAGAGGCAGTTGAGACTCTTGAGCAGAAAATTAGCCAACAGGATCAAGTTCTTGCTGAGACGCTGTCTCTGAATAGGAAGTTAAGTGAAGAAGCTGAAAACTCTCAGCAGACCGACGTTTCTTCTGAGACAACTGCATTACAATCGCAAGTGGCCTCTCTTGAAGCAGAGTGTGAAACGCTTCAGAAGAAGGTTCATGAGGCCCAAGAATCTCGTAAAGAAACCATCCGCAAAGCAAAAGAAAAAGATAGACACCACCGTGAACAACTGAAGCAGCAGAAAGAAGAATACAGCGAGCTGATGGAACGTTTTGAGGCGCAGAGCGGTGAGCGAGAAGTTCTTCTTACTAAACTAAGAGAACTGGAGGAAAAAGGGATCAATGAAAAAGAAGCTCTGCCTCATCAAGAGCCCAAGCACGTGGGTGAAAATGTGGAAAAGCCTGCTACAAATGATTGGGTCCAGGAGGACTGGGTGGATTTTGCTACAACAGAGACCGATTCATCACAACCACAATCCAGCGATGTGACTCAGCCTCCTGCAGAGTCTTCTGAGGTCGTCTCTGCACAAATGGAGGAATCTCTGAAAGCTCTCAGAGAGGAGATCCACGCTGTGCGGGAGGCAAACACAGAGCTGGAGAACAAGCTGCAGGAAACGCAGGACAGTCTGTCACTGAAGGAGGCTGAATTAGTGGAACTGGGCAAAGACCTGCAAGCACTGAGAGAAAAAGAAAAGCAAATTGATGGACTCTCTAAAGAAATTAACGATCTCAGAGAAAAGTATCACCAAGCTGAGTCTTACGCTGAAAACCTGAAGGCAGAGATGGAAGCTGCAGCCAGTGTTGCGTCTGCAAATGCTACATCTTCAGTTACAACTCTTCAGGCTGAAGTGGAAGACTTCAAGCAATTTCTTGATAATAAGAACCATGAGATAATGGAGCTCAGTCAGCAGCTTAGCGAACAGAGCTCACTTATACACTCAATGCAGGACACAGTGTCTCAGAAGGATCAACTCATCACTTCTTTGCAGGAAGAACTGAAGGCCGAACAAGAAAAGACACAGAGGTTAGAGGCTGATGTTCCACAAAAGCAAGAGGAAGACAGTGAGGCAAAGATCCAGCAGCTTCAGCGAAAGCTTCAGGCTGCCCTGATCTCTCGCAAAGAGGCCCTCAAAGAAAACAAAACCCAGAAAGAGCAGCTGGCGTCAACTGAAAAGGTCATAGCTGAGCTGCAGCAGAAAATGAGCTCAGCAGACGATGAGCTGGAGAAGCTGAGAGCAGAGAGAGATAGGCTGATTGTTGAAGTTGACCGAACATTACTGGAGAATCAAAGTCTAGGATCCTCGTGTGAGAGCCTCAAGCTGGCAATGGAAGGCATACTCAATGAGAAAGATGCCTGTAAGAGAGAAGTGGAGTTGGCAAAAGAAGAGGCGACCAGAACATGCAGAGAATGGGAGGAAAAGGTTCAAGGCATGAAAGATGAGTACGAGACTTTGCTCAAGTCTTATGAAAATGTGAGTGACGAGGCAGAGCGAGTGAGACGAGTGCTGGAAGCTGCCAGACAGGAGAGACAGGAGCTGGCAGCCAAGGTGAGAGGTCATGAGGCTGCCAGGCAGGAAGCTGAAAGGCAAGCAGAGGAAGCACAGAAAGAGGTGGATTCAGTGAAAGACAAAATGAGAAAATTTGCCAAAACAAAGCAGCAAAAAATATTAGAGTTAGAGGAGGAGAACGAGAGACTCAGAGAGATGCAGGAAAAGCCTGTAACAAAACGAGGAGACAAGGCCCTCAGAGCTGAAGTTGAACAGCTTCAGGAAGAGCTGGGAGACTTAAAGGCTGAGCTGGAGGCTACAGTGTCAGAAAGAGACTCTTTAGGGCAGCAGATTGAAGAGTTGAGACAGCAAGTTGCCCAAATGGGAGAAAAAGACATTTCGGTTATTCCATTTAGCTCTGCAGCTGTTGTAGAAGAGGTTGTGACGGCCCAGCAGTCAGACACAATCATGACTACAACAGAGCCTGTTGAAAGTCAGCATGAAGACAGTGAAACACGCGTAACCCCAGAGGAGACTCAGGATGAACAAATAGTTGCAGAGTCTGTGACAAAAACTCATTTGGAGCCCACTGAAGAAAAAGAAAAAGCAGATGTGACTGAAAGTGCTCAAACATTATTAGAAAATAAAATGAAGGAGATTGAGGCAACTGTAAACACCGAGAGGGAACTGTGGCAGGAACAGGAGGCTGAACTCAAAACTAAACTGGCCTCTCTTGAACGAGATCTTCAGGAGAGTAAAGAGAAGGAAAGCCTTACAGCCTCTTTTGAGAAGTGCCTTCAAGAGAGCAAAGAGAGAGAAAAGAGCCTAATTGAAGAGGCTTCAAAGAGGGAAACCCAGTTCAAAGAACTCCTCAGAAGCCTTGAAACTGAAAAAGACAACCTGGAGGAACGTCTGATGAACCAATTAGCTCAGCTCAACGGAAGCATCGCTGGCTACCAGCAAGAGGCAGCAGACAACCGGGAGCACCTCACTGAACTACAGCGGGAGGTGGAAAGGTTAGAGAGGGAGCGCGCAGAGCTCGAAGCCGAGGCTCAGAGCGAGAAGGACCGAGCTGCCAGACTGGAAGAAGACATGAGACAAGCCCAGCGAGAAAGAGCTGAGGCTGAAGCAGAGTCTGGAAAGCAGAGGGAGCTGGAGCAACAGCTGAGGACTGCTCAGAGGGTCAAAGAAGGCAGCCAGACCAGAGCGCGTCAGCTGGAAGAGCTGCTAAGGGAGAAGCAGCTGGAAGTCCGTCAGCTGCAGAGGGACTGCATCCAGTACCAGGAGAGGATCAGTGAGCTGGGTAGAGAAGCTAAGGCACTACAGCTAGGGCACGATGAGCTCGGCAGGAAACTAGAACAATCTCAGCTGGAGACGTCCAAAACTCTAGAGGACCTGAAAAAGACTGAAGCACAGTTAGATGGTTGTAAATCCCAACTAGATGAGTCTCAGAAACAGGCAAGTGACGCCTTGGCAGCAAAATCGACTATCGAACAGAGCATCCAGCAGAAAGAAGCCATGATGAAAGCTGAGGCAGAGCAAACCCTGGACTCTGTGAGATTCAGGCTGGGAGCTGAACTAAAGGAGATGGAGCTGAGACTAGAGGACGCATACAGAGAAAGGGAGAAGGAGGAGGATGCTACTCTAGAGGCCAGAGAGATGGCAGAACGAGCTGAGAGACGAGCCCAAGAGCTGCAGGCCCGTCAGGATGAGTCTATAGCCAGGTTAACTGCCTTCTCCCTCAGCATGTCCTCCCTGCAAGATGACCGGGACAGAGTTTTGGATGAGGCCCGGCAGTGGGAGACTCGCTTTCATGGTGCTCTGCAGGGTAAAGAGGCTGAAGTACGTGAGGCTGAAACACGGGCCAAGGACCTTGCAAAACAGCTTCAGAAAGAAACTGCACTGAAAGAGGAACTTAAACTTTCGGTTGATAGATTAGAGAAAGCAGACAAAGAATGGCAGCTGAGGTTAGAAGAAGAAGAAAAGAAAGTCTTAGAGAGCCAAGCTGCCCTCGAGGAGGAGAGAGGGAAGCTTCAGCAAACTACAGCTGAGTTGCAGGCTGCACAAAATGAAGCCCAGGCCCTGAAAAATGAGGTGGAGAGTCTCTATCAGAGAACTCGGGCGCTGGAGGAGGCTGTAGGAAGACTGCAGGGTGAAGTCGACCAGGCGAGGACTGAGCTGAGGGAAAGAGAAGCAGAGGAGAGACGACTCTGTCTGAATGTGGAGCAGCTGGAGACAGACCTGCGATCCTCCAAGGCATTGACAGAGAGCTTGCAGACTGAGTTACATGAGAAGGAAAGGAGGGAGGTGGAGATTCTAGGGGAGAAGGAGCAAGCTGTGGCTCAGGTATGCATGTTTTCATTTACTGAGAAATCATGGGACAGATATTTGATATTCTTTACAAATCTCTTATTCGTGTGTCATTTGATTTCCAGGCTGCTGAGGAGGCCAGAAAGGAGGCTGACAGCAGGGCACAAGAAGCTGAGGAGGAGCTGGAGCAGAGAAGAGGGGAAGTTCGGGATCTGGAAGAAAAACTGCGAAAGGCGGAGGAAGAGAGCAACAACAGAAAAACCCGGCTGGACTCTTTTATGAAGGCTATGGGCTCCTTGCAGGACGACAGAGACAGAGTCCTCAACATGTACAAGCAGCTGGAGGAGAAACACTTGCAGGTAATGTGAAAAACAAAACGGTGTAACATGTGTGGACCTTGTTTTATTGTCCATTATAACATCTTTATTGTGTCCCAGGTAATGATGGAGAAGGATGGTTTGATCCAAGAGGCAGCGGGGGAGAATAACAGCCTGAAGGAAGAGCTGCGCTCTCTGCTGGTCCAGAGAGACGACCTGTACGCTGAAAAGGCCAAGCTGTCTGCTCAGCTTCATGGCTATCGTGATGAACTTAACCAAGTCCTAAGCATGAAGGACTCTCAACACAAACAGCTTCTGGCAGCCCAAAGAGGGCGTATTGCAGCTTTAGAAAGGGAGCGTGAGGAGCTGGAAAATCAGTTAAAGAGCCTCAGCATAGCCAGAGAAACAGAAGTAGAAGCAGCGGTACACAGAGTGGAGAGTGAGACTCTTAGTCAGGCTGTTGACAGCAGACCAGCATCGCAGGTGATTGATGCTCCTGGTGCAGAAGTCGAGAAGCTGAGGGAGCAGCTGCAGGCATCAAGAAAAGAAGTGGAGGCTTTGGAGGAGACTCTACTCAGGGAGAGGCAGGAGCAGGACAGCAAGAGCAAAGAACTAGCTGAGCTTCGATGGGAAGGAGGCGTGATGCGGACAGAGTCGGAGAGCGCTCAGGAGAGGGTGGCGGAGCTGGCCAGAGACCTGCTGGCTGTAGAGCAGAAGCTGCTGGAAGAGAAAGAGGCAACAAACCAGCTGAGAACAGAGAATCAGTCATTTGCTAAAGCCATGGCCTCCCTCCAGGACAGCAGGGACCAGGCAGTAAACAAGGCCCAGGAAATGAGCCTGAGACTGGAGGAGATGAGCAAAGCAGGAGGCCCCACAGCACACAGCAGCCCTGGAGGCTCCACCGGAGAAGTGTGGGGGCTGAAGAACGCACTACAAGCCCTGCAGAATGACAGGGAGAGGCTGGTGAGTGACTCGTGAACTCCTCTGGTGACACTTGTTAATAGTGATGCGCTTGGTTGTGCTTTTGGTGAGTTTTAATTGACATTTCCAGGATTTCCACACATACTTTCTTCATCCTTTTTATGTGCAGCTGGAGCAACTTAAAACACAGACGTCTGAGCTGGAGAAGCAGAAGTCAGAGCTGGCTCGGCTGGGAGCTGGAGAGTTGATTAAAGTCAGTCAGGAGCTGTTTGAAGAGAAGAAGAAGAGCGACGACATGCTGGGTGTCATAACACAGCTAGAGAACGTGGTGGAAATGGGCAAGCACGAAATTGAGACTCTCAGGTGACTACACAGCAGAAGTAGCTTTTTCATTTTAGTTTGTCTGTGAAGCAAAATGGATTTATTGTATTTAGCTGTTTGCCTTTTTTTTTTTTTTTTTTAGGCTGGAACGAATTGACTGGATGGCTCAAGCAGAGCAGCTGAAGCAGCAGACTCTCACCACACTCTCAGAGAGGGACCAACAACTGCGACAGCTCACCGCCATGCTGGAGGAGGCCCGCGCTCATAAGCCCAAACTGCAGCAGGAGCACTATCAGAGAGAGGTAGAGGTCGAAACATTTGCTTGTACTTCAGACTGCAAAGGAACAAGTTCTGTTGACAGTGGCATTGCCAGAATAACATACTTTGCGTCAATGGTTTGCCGTCTTATTTACTTGTTGCCCTTAAGGAGACCCAAAGAGGTCAAATGTATTTGTTTTTTTTGGAAACAAATCAAACATTTAAGACAACATATAAAGGAAATTTTATGTGACTAGTTTTTAAATTTCCTTCTTAAGTGTTTAATCTTTGGACATCTTAGAAAATACACCAGGCTGTGTATGTTTATCATTCATGTAGCATTAATAATTTGGCTTCAAGTGGTGTTAGTGGCAAGTATAATTTAACCATTAAATCAGCACTCACAGGATACAGATTTTGTGTAAATGACCTCTGTGATATCATTGCTGTCCGACAGGGCACAGAGGAGGTGGACAGCGCTCCTGGAGCCCCACAGGAGCGAAGCAGCCTGCTGGACAGCCACGCCTACATCGCTGAGGTCAAAGAGCTACAGCGGAGGTAATGTAAGGCCTCAGCAGAAATAGGAAAGTGGCATTTTAAAACACACACATACTGATTTTTAACTTCTATGCATCAGACTAGATGAAGAGACACAGCAGAGGCTGGCTGTTGAGGAGCAGCTGATGACCACACAGGATCGACTCACACGGTAGGAATCGTCATACGAGATGATAAAGTTGGATAAGAACAATCTTTGTATTAACAGTAGATTGAATGACTACTGTTTAAGCAGGAATGCGGTTGCTCTTAGTGACAAAATTGCAGTGAAATGCCTCCCAACACTGAAGTTTTCCCTAACTCTAGAAAGTGTATTTGCTCAATAAGCAGTTTTAAAAGACTTGTTGTCTTGTAAAGAAAACCCCCCAACAAAAGAGAATCATCTGATTTTGAACCTTCTGTGACATGCTATTAATTTGGGAAACATCACTGAATATAAGCTTAAAATCACAGGAAGTTTTTGAAATTACTTTATTCTACATGTCTCCGCGAAAGATTTGCCAAAATAAACTCTTTGCCAAAACAATATTCTGTAAAAAACAAAACACTCGGCACAACCAGGAAGTCATTAGTGACTCAACTGTGACCAACAGCCTCATGACAGAAATTCTGAGATTTTTCAGTTGGGCTGAGCAGGCTGTTTACACAGAGCAGAGAGTAGAGAAGTATGAAAACAATACAACATGTAAGTAGTGAGATATCTGTAGTATATAGAGCCACCATTTTTTTCCGGTATTGGACAACCTATGGACACAGAGAAATGTTTTACAGCTTGTTTCTAGGTTTTTCAAGTTTTGTAAAATAAATAGCCAAAGAAGTTAAAATGTATTGTTTTAGGTTTTATGTGATTTTTATCATTATACTTTTACACTACAAAAAGAGCACTTTTGAGTTCTGTCTCCTTCTTCATGGCTGTGCTGTTTCCATACAGATACAGGACTTTGTAATACAGTGAAAAATGAGCCCACATTGAGTACAAATGTGACAGGAGCAAAAAATGCCCAGAAACTACTTCGAGTTCAGAGGGTTAAGTCTGATGCCACATGTGAAATGCTGCTTCCCATCCCAGCAGCAAACAGAACCTGTGAACCTTTTAACCATCACTGTCTTAAGTGAGGAACCACTGAGGGTTAAAAAGGTTGATTAGAGTAGCTGCTCTGCCAAGTTCTATAAATGAAGGGTTGGGTCCAGGAATCCATGAAGAAGAGGATTAACAAGGTTGAGATGAGTCAGATGTTAGCAGTAAGCTAGCTACATAGTTGATATCTACAGATTTATCTCTTGGTGTGTACAAACATCACAAACTAAACATGCAGCAGTCAGGTTTTGGAGGGCGAGTGAAGTTAGGATAAATAGCACATGATGATCTGCCACTGAAGTCTCATTCAGGCTAATATAAACACAGCACTGGCAGTGTGTTTTAGAAGTGTACAGGTAAACTAAATTATTGTCAGTAAATCTGGAGGGTCAGTCATTGAGGTGCAGCGCCTGCAGAACGTCAAATCAAGAGAGACAAGTGCCTTCATGTGGCAGCCTTGTTGATTTGGGTGGAAGAAAACACTCGTATTGCAAGAAAAGCGGTGGAATGACAACGGAATTCTTTTTTTAGACCCAGATCTATTCAAACAAGACGCAGTGCTGTGATATGTTGAAACAACAAGAGACTCAGCCAACGCAATTCCTGGAAGTTGGGCATGGAAACAGTATTATCAGGAGGTCAATACGTCAGATCTTAACGAGCGGATTAGTGTCTTCCAGCTAATTGTTTGGTTTAGTTGCCAACTTCTGGCTCAGTCGAACTGCTCTAATTAGTGTAATTTGCGCTACTTGCCCATCAACAAGAGGCAGGGAAAATGGCCAGCCAGCTGGTGAACTTACAGAAGAGGGGCATGTCGCAGATATGGAGACCTTTTATTCAAGAGTTGGATAAAACAAAAGAGTCGATGGAGACGTGGCTACATGTACGGTGCTCCATGCTTACTGGGTGTGTAAATAGGATTTTATTTGCTAACAACTTTGGAAGAATCACCTTAAAACTTAATGTTAGTGTTTTCATTACAGCTTGTAGCAAAACCAGAATTCTAAGTACATATTGAGTATCGATCAAGAAGCATGAAATACACATTGCATTCTGTTTTGCTCTTCCGTATGTTAATGTTAGAGTCTTAAAAAGCATTTATCACGAGACTGGCCTTGATTGAATGTTTCTAACAGTGTAATGTTTAAAAAGCTCCAAGTGTCTGCAAGTTTTTCTTCCTCTTTCTGCATCTGAATAATTCATCTTGTTCTTTTTTAGCTGTGAAAGATTTGTTCAATCAACAAAATATGACAGCTAACATCTGTTTCCATTCTCATTATTATTAGTCACAGCCAGCCAACATGGCACTCGGCGCAAGACGGTGATCACTCAGAGACTGCTGTTTTTATCGAGCCGCCGGAAGGAGCTGTCACTCGAGTAAGGATCTGCTAATGTTCCGTGCCACCTCATCTGTCATCTTAATAATGGTAATAAAAAGACTCACGAGCCGAATGCTTCCTGTAACCTTGTGTTTTCACTCTGGCAGACTCGGAGAGGTGGTCCGGGTTTGATGCGGATGCTCCGAGTGGCCTTCTGCTCCCGCCAGCGCACCCCTCTGCTGCTGAGCCTCTATCTGCTCACTGTGCACGTCCTGCTGCTGCTGTGTTTGGGTGGATACCTCTGAAACCAGCTCCCTATGACACACCCGACAGATTAGAGCGCGATGGAGAGAGAGGAGGGCAAAGAAAATGGAAATGTGGCACAGACCTAACCCAAGCCATCAACATCATTTATAATGTTACATTAAAGAAGGGTAGGAGGGATGCTCTACATGCAGACGTTGCACTTTACAAGACTTAATCTTTTAGCCAAAGTATATAGATTTATATTGGGAGCTGTTGACTTTGATTTTAACCATTTGCCCTTGGATCACTTGTGTGTGATGTTCCTTTCGAAACCTTCCTAACTGTAAACGTTTTACGGGAAAATGTAGATTAATAATCACGTGTTGTGGCAGATGGTGTTTTTCATGTGCCTTTAGTTTTAGATATCACCTAAAGGGATCGCTAAGTGAAAGCTAATGTTCTACATTTTGGGAAACATGCTTGTAAGTGTTCTGACAGAGATTATATGTGCACTCTTTTAAAAATTCACTTTTTTTTTTGTTAGAAGCTTGGAAGATTTTGTTTAATTATTAATCAAATTTATTGCCCTGGTTCGAAGATGAGTTTGCTGACACTCAAATCTGTCCGTTGTCTGGAAAGCCAACTGACTTAGTTTAGGTTTACTACAAAGTCAGGCTAAGGAGTGTGTCCAATCCAACACTCACCTTTAAATCCCACTAATGAACATCTAATTAGTTTAGAATACAAAGTGTAAAATGAAAATTAGCTGTGTTTCATATTCAGTGACCAAACTATTTATCTCTGTGCTTTTGCCAGGCAACCAGGGAAGTTACTGGTACCGGCTAACACATTAACAACGCTGGAACAAAATGGCAAAATTTCACCTGAACACAGCAGGTTTTGTAGATTAGCTGATGTAATTTGTGAGTATGTCAGCCTTTAAGGGGACTGTGGGCTGTTTCAGTTACACAGACCTACAGTAGCTGTGTCCTTTGTTTAGGCTAACTGGCAGCTAGCTGCAACGTTAACGAACATTTAGATTTTTTTGTTGCCAACTCTCCGCCAAACAGCTGGTGAGACTGTTTCTTCACAACATTTCTTTGTAAAGATGGCTTGAGGTTTAGGGAGCGCTCTTATCGTCCTGTCTCTTCCTCAACTGCTCATTTCATGCACAAAAACGGAGCACAGTGCAATTTCTGTTTGTCCACATTCCTATATTGTGTTTTCCTTCACTTTCCTCTAATATAAATCACTTTCTTTAAACAAGGACCCTTATATTGATATTTGTACATATGTACATGTACTACGTATGTCAGCTGGATGTGAGTTTTCCTCTTATAGCTCCAGATCCCCTGTCTGTGCTTCCACGGCACACATTTAGATATCACAGGTTTGCTCTGTAGTTTTTATGGCAGATGAAGTTGCCTTTAGGTGCAATGTTACTACAGTGTGGATTCATTCCAGAGGAGGAGGACTGCTGTGTTTTCTAACGTTATCCGTCCCATTACAGACTACTGCGATGTAGCATAATTTATTGTTCATAAGAAACTGTTGAACTGTCCACCACCTACATGTGTATCCACATCATCCTCTGTTTAATCGCTGTGTTGTGTAGTCATCTTCTCTCTTAATTCACATTCTTCACATCGTACACCCACTCACGCTGTAAATAACTGTTTAAAGGGCTGTATAGAATAATAAAATGTAATTAAAGCCTTGGCGGTTTAGGTGAGGGACCAGTCTTGTCAAGCATTAATTATTTCCTCGTTAGGGTATCTGTAGGGGAAAAAACAGGCATTGGGATGTTTTTGTTTACACTTTACTCGGCTCAGTTAGTTTTAATTCAGAAAATTACCCACACTATCTTCTCCGTTGTCTTTGTGAAATAATTAAGAATAATTGGCTTATTATTTTTGGAAAGCCTGTCGACCTGACCACTGTCGTGCTTGTAATGCTGAGAGTTCTTCTTCTGAAAGTACAAATGAAGCTCAGGTTCAAACCAACTGAGAGATGATGAGTTACTGTAATACTTTTAAATGCACACATTTAAACGCTGGTCTGACCTGATTTTGTTTTTTTCTTTTTGTGGGAGAAGGAATTACACAGACACACTTACTGCTGACACAAGTCACTACATATTCAAAGCCTTTAATAAACGATATTTTCAAGTGTAACTGAAGTCTGAGTGGAAGCTGTTTGCTTTGGGACTGAAGTCTTGTGGGTTATACAAGAAAGGATGACGGTTCACAGAATAAAGACTTAATCTGTTACACGTGTCTGTCTGTGGTGATATCAGTAAATTAAAATAGCACAGAAATCACTGGTTTAAAAAAATTAATTCCATGTAGGATGTCAGATGTTCATATTTGTAAATATGCCTGAAGTCAATAGAATAAGGTCTCATAATTATCATTAACTGCTTTGTTTCACAGATTTGAACCTTGACATTTGAATGTCTGTGCAGAAATATGCCTTACAGGTCAAAAAAAAAAGAAAAAGCTAATTTATGATGCTGATTTCACTGTGTAAGCAGTGTAGTCCTTCACTCTGAATGTCCATAAGATGTCCCAGTTGTGTTAAAGCTGTGTGAGTCTGCCCCCCAGTGTTGTTACTACAATACTACTGGCTAAATCCCGGCCTTCGTTCATTCAAGTTAAAAGTAAGCCATAGCTCATAATTAACAACATTTCAGGTCTCCTAAAAATCGTATTGTTTGTCTTATTGTCAATTTGGGATTTTCCCGAGCCACTTGAATGCAGCATTTATTCATTTTAAGATTTCTTTCTTTCGTCTTTTGTTTCTTTGTTTCTTTCTTTTTTCTTTTTTAATTAAATATTGCATTTAAATATCTTTTTAATGCCGATTATTAGTAAAGTCGTTTTCTGCTGCTGGAATTATCGACTGTGTTTTATTTACATCGACGCGCGCTCACGTGTGCGGGACGCGCGTTCACTTGTCGCCCATCAAACTGTCACAACTCGTTCAGACTGTCAGCAGCTCTTCGTGGCTGTCACATCCACATTTCCACGGATATCCTGCGCAACTACTGAAAGGTAAAGTTGTTTTTTTTTGCTTCTAAGCTAACTTATAGCAGGCCTGCATGTGCTTTTACTTGATTCATCCTTCTGCTTAATTAAGGAAGTAGATCCAGTCAGACGCAGTTTAAAGTGAACAGCAGTGAACCGTTTGTGCAAATGTCACTCAGTGATTTTACACGTAGATGATTTAAAGTTATATAGATTTGACGTTATATAGTTGTTGTAACTTGTGCTTTAAGTCCAGTATTGTTCAGTATTGCTGCTCCTGTTCTTACCAACCTACAGCTACCAGTTATTACAATAAAAATCTGCCTAAAAGTGACAGTAAAGATAAAATATGGCTAATAATTGTCAAAAGATTCCATGCTTCTTCAAACAATAGCAATTTTCTGTTGATTGAAGAGGACTAGATGGTGATTGGTACATAATTCCCTTAAATAACGTGTCATTATGGTGCTTTTTTAGTATTCTAGTGTCTTTTTTTAACCAACTAAGGCCCTGAAGTGTCTTTGTCTATGAGGAAATGAAGGTTCATGTTGAAAATAACTTCCTTATCGAGACTGAAGCACACAGTGGTCAGAGATTGTGGTTGTACGCGAGTTTATTTCAGTCATCCTACGGTGCACAGTAAAGCACAGATGTGACAGATACATGAGCAAAGCAAAGCACTGACAACCCGTTGTCTTCATTCTAGCGGCTCACAGTGTTTTATCTCCCCAGATGTGGAAGTCAGTTGTGGGCCACGATGTGAGCATGAAGGTGGCTGCAGAGGGGGACGACTGGGAGACGGACCCCGACTTTGAGGTACCGTATACTTCCTGCATTGTGCATCAATGTTGGGGAAGAGGGAGGGGAAGACGTTCTTCATTGATCAACCCTGTCTGATTTAGTTTTTCTTTTGTTCTTCAGAATGACGTGTCAGAGCAGGAGCAGAGGTGGGGAGCCAAAACTATCGAAGGCTCGGGACGCAAAGAACACATCAGGTAAAACAAAACCAAAAAAGAGATGAAAAGGAGCCTGCATGTGGAAGTTCAGAGTGTTTAGAGGATGTATAGAAATGCAGGTCAGAGTGGGTGCTGTGTGGCAACAGGAAGAGGAAGTGAGAGCGGAGGAGGCCGTCAGCCTGCAAGTCTCTCCTAATATGGATAATACACGATGATGACAGTGACAGAGAGATTTAAACCAATGCTCACATGGTCACACCACAAAGTCTGACAGTAACAATAGGACCAGAGGTTGCTCAGAGATTTTGGTGCAATTTTTTAATAAGTCATCCTTTATAAAGGGTTTATAAATGATTTGGGGGTTTATAAAACATTTAGTAATGAACATTTGGTAACTTTCTAGCTTATTGTTTGTCAGACACTAATTTAATTCATTAAGCACTTGTTAACATCCATCCATCATCTATACACCACTTAATCCTCAGTAAGGTCATGGGGGGCTGGAGTCTATCCCAGCTGATTCAGGGTGAAGGCAGGGGACACCCTGGACAGGTCACCAGTCTATCACAGGGCTACACTTAGAGACAGACAACCAAGCACACTCACATTCACACCTACGGACAATTTAGAATCATCAATTAACCTCAACATGTTTTTGGACTGTGTGGGAGGAAGCTGGAGAACCTGGAGAGAACCCACACTGCACGGGGAGAACATGCAAACTCCACGCACAAAGATCCTGGTGCCCACCAGGACACGAACCGGCGACCTTCTTGCAGCCCGCTTATTGACATTTAAACTCTTAACTTGTAGGCTTATTAACCTTTATTACAATTTACGGCCATAAACAATACGGAGGAAAACATTTACATCTGGATTGTTTTTGCAGATATTGCAACGTGAGTCATGACTTTAGTGGAAATGGTTTTTGTTTTCACAGAAAAAAACATTTAAGTTACGATATATATTTTTTGCAGCAGTCTGCACCAAACAAACATCTTCTCTTCTGTTTGGAGGATATGATTTGTAAACTGGGGCATCTCTGCAGCACCACAGTGCTTCATTAATTTAAAAAAAACCTTGTTTATCGTTTTAGATTTAAAATAAATTGACATTACTTGGTGCAAATCTGTTTTCATTTTGACATGAAAGAGTTGTTTTTGTTGCAAATTCTTGTCAATGTCACGAGTCAATATTGAAAAGCGATAAAAAGGAGAAAACTTCTGAGGAGGTGAATATTTTCTGTAGACACTTTATCATTCAGTGTGGTTTGGCAAAGCAAGCAATTTACAAGTCTGACCTTTATTACATTTATTTATGACATTTTAAAATACCAAAACCAGAACCAAACTCATGAATAAATTATGACTTGCAGATGTGTGCTTGCAGTATTTTCTGCTGCCTTCCAGTGTTGCTTATTGCTTTTATTTTGTGTTCTGTCCTTATTTAAAAATTTCAATTTTCAACCTTGGTTCAAAATGTATGTTGATGTTTTCTTTAATTCACCTGTTAAAGATTATTTCTGACTTTAAATATGGGGTGTTAGTGATGAAAGGCCCGTATTTCTACCAGCATATATTACTGTTTGTGTGAAATGCTGCAAATGGAGCGCAGCCTTTTAACTGTGTTTGATATCTGCAGCGTCGCAGAGCTCAGAAGCAAAGTTGCTGTGGAACATGAGCAGGTGAAGCAGAAGGAGCACATTCCCAAAGCATCGTATGGATACGGAGGGAAGTTTGGAGTGGAGAAGGACCGGATGGACAAGGTTAGCAAACTGTTTGATGGTCAAAAAAAAATCCTCGAATCTCCATCCATCTGTTTGTGCTGCTTGTTCAAGAATGTCTCTGCTGTCCAGGTTGCGATGGGTCACGACTACGTAGCGCAGGTCGAGCAACACTCTTCCCAGAAAGACGCAACGAAAGGGTTCGGTGGGAAATATGGTGTTCAGAAAGATCGTGTTGATAAGGTGAGAAGATACAGTTTGAGATTTCACTAAAACAAACAGATAGGACACATTTTAGTGTTTTTACAGAATTTCAATCTCTTTAAGATTTGATCAGAAGAACATTACTGGCTCACAAGGATGTGAATTGTTTCGCACCCTCATACTTTCACTAATCGAACACTACAGCATTAATGTACAGTTAAAACAATTAGCACAGACAGGTGGTCTTTTCTTAATATGTGAAGCTTTTTTATATTCTCCAAAAAACTTCAAACTTTAAAGCTGCATTTAAATAATGTGTAGTATCATCTGTCATTACGATTAAATGCAATCTCTGTTATCTGTGCAGTCTGCCATGGGCTTTGAATACAAAGGAGAAGTGACACAACATGCATCTCAAAAAGGTGTGTCCATTGTCCAGCTTCTAATTTACAACATTCTGCTTTTAGAAGTTAACAGAGAGTAGAACAAACATTTCTTTACATTTCATTGTTTCAGATTACTCAAAGGGATTTGGAGGAAAATACGGCGTTGAGAAGGAAAAAGTGGACAAAGCAGCTCTGGGCTACGACTATAAAGGCCAGACGGAGAAGCATCAGTCACAAAAAGGTGAATTCAAAGTGTAAGCATTGCTCGTTCTTATATTACTTGCTCGACATGTGGTTAATTCTGCATCTGCATTTTCATCAGACTACGCGAAGGGATTTGGAGGAAAGTACGGGGTGGAGAAGGAAAAAGTGGACAAAGCAGCTCTGGGCTACGACTACAAAGGAGAAACCGAGAAGCATCAGTCACAAAAAGGTGAATTCAAAGTGTAAGCATTGCTCGTTCTTATATTACTTGCTCGACATGTGGTTAACTCTGCATCTGCATTTTCATCAGACTACGCGAAGGGATTTGGAGGGAAGTACGGGGTGGAGAAGGAGAAGGTGGACAAAGCTGCCGTTGGTTACGACTATAAAGGAGAAACCGAGAAGCATCAGTCACAGAAAGGTGAGTTAAGGAGGAAGCAGGTTGGTGATTCCATCGTAAATCATCAGGGGCCTTCTGCTTGACAGTCTCTGATTAGCTACAAACTTTTTTTAATCACTAACTGCGGATATTTAAAATGCTATCTGTCAATTTTTATGCTTGATATATGTTATTTCTCACTATGACACTGATTCAGAATTTGCAATTTTGTACTTGTACACAAAACTTGGATGAGGCTGTCAAGCAATGGTTTTGTTTTTGTGGCGTGTTATAGATTTGTTTTTCGATGTGTGTTCAAAAATAAGTTTTTTTTTTTTGTTGATATTTTAACTCATCCGTAACAAAAATGTAGGCTTTTAATTTAACTAGTTCCTGAGATAGGGGCTGCCAGGTGGAGCAGTGGGTAGCACTGTTGCATCGCAGCAAGACGGTCACCGATTTGCGTCCCGGTGGGGGCACCAGGATCTTTCTGTGTGGAGTTTACATGTTCTCCCAGTGCAGCGTGGGTTCTCTCCAGGTTCTCCGACTTCCTCCCACAAGGTCCAAAAACATGTTGAGGTTAATTGGTGATTCTAAATTGTCCATAAGTGTGAATGTGAGTGTGCTTGGTTGTCTGTCTCTAAGTGTAGCCCTGTGATAGACTGGTGACCTGTCCAGGTGTCCCCTGCCTTCACCCTGAGTCAGCTGGGATAGACTCCAGCCCCCCATGACCCTAGTGAGATTAAGCAGTGTAGATAATGGATGGATGGATGGTAAATAATCCAGTCTTGACACTTTTTCCTGACATCTTATTGCATCATTCCATGTTGTCTTACGTGTTTCCCATTCAGATTACTCAAAGGGATTTGGAGGGAAGTTTGGTGTTGAGAAGGAGAAGGTCGATAAAGCTGCGTTGGGGTTCGAGTATAAAGGCGAGACGGAGAAACATCAGTCACAGAAAGGTGATCGAAAACCCACATCTGTCTAATGTGAATTATCAACGGATTTGTAGTTCAATAGACTGATCAAACGTTTCTCTGTTTAGATTATTCAGCAGGTTTCGGTGGTCGTTATGGAGTACAGGCAGATCGGATGGACAAGGTCAGTATCAGGGATGAAACTAGTCATTATTTACATTTGATTTTTTGTTTAATCTGCAAGAGAATAGTTGAAACTCTCTGTCGCAAAGTCCAAGAAGAATGGAAATGAAGTACAAATGAGATATTATTGGCTTTAATACTTGTTTTAGACTTTATTTTACAAAGGAAAAAAAGTGTGAAAAGCATGCATGTGTTTTGATCGTCTCTCTTTAAATTCCTTTTTGCATCCAGCACCTTTAATGTCAGTATCTGAAGGCCAAGTATAGAGTCTGGTTTATGTGACTAGAGTCAGCAGAGTCGTGCTTCATATATCCTCCTGCTCTGGCAACCAGAGACAAGATTCCCATTGTACTAGCTCTTAATTTTAAATGTAGATATATTTTCTGCCATTTGATTAATTAAATAACTGAGTAATATTTTCCGCAAAAGACTTCATCTGACTTGACCTTTCAGACTAACATTAATAAATCTGCTCCTATTATTAACCTCCAGAGTGCAGCAGGATTCTCAGACATGGACTCTCCGACCTCGGCTTACCAAAAGACGCAGCCAGTAGAGGCCTGTACGTTCATTTTTTTTATACCTCATCTTCAGAAAAAAGTATTAAATCCACAACTGTTCAGCAGTTTCCATGTTGGAACAGCTGAGAACACAGCGGCGGTCACTGCTAACACATTGGATTCCTTTTTGTTCATATTGTGCAGCAAGTGCAGGTGCAGGGAAACTGAAGGCCCGCTTTGAGAACATGGCCAAGGCTTCAGATGAGGAGAACAGGAAGAAGGCTGAAGAAGAGAGAGCAAGGAGACAAGCCAGAGAGAGCAGAGAGCGAGAGGAGGCCAAACGCAGACAGCAGGTAACAAACCACCGCAGCGTAAACGTGTAAACAGCTCAGAGTTACTTATCAGGACACGTATGAGTGACAGTTCGCTTTATGTTGTTTCCTTTAGGAGCAGAGCAGCAGAGAGGAGGAACCTCAGCCTCCACCTGTTCCAGATGTGGATCCAGAGTACGACATGCCTCCGCAAGAAATCCACCAACACATGCCAGAGATCGAAGAAACTCCAGAACCTGAACCTGAACCTGAACCTGAACCAGAGGTGAGAACATCAGCTGCACAAACAGCATTGATCATTGTTTGTATGGAAAAAGCTGTAACCAATCTCTCAGTACTTTTTGTTTCTACTCTATACTTCTGACTGAAGACATAAATCTTAAGATTAGAACATGTTTTGATGTTATTATACATGTAACAACAACTTGTGTTCGTCACCATCCAAGTGTTCAGAAACACACGAGAGACACAAAGGCACATTGAAATCTTTGAAATCATTGATTAGACTAAAAAACAACTAGTAAATAAAATGTTATGCATATGAATGGGATGCTTGCTTTGACTTTTAGTGCTAATATCTGTAATAACAGATCTATCATTATTTTTATGAATTTTTAAATGAAAGGGTGCCAATAGGAGAATAACTTTTGTTAAACATGCTCTACTTTAAAAGCTTACTTCTTTGCTATATGAGCACTAAGGGACCCTATTCAAGAATGAAAATACTCCCAAGGCTTTGATCTTTTAATGTATGACTTTTCATTTACCCTGAAATGTTGAGTTTCAGACAGCTGTGCTCCAGAATTGAAGGTGTTTGCAGCTTTTTTTGGACTCTATCAGTGCATCATGTGACCAGCTAGAGTGTGCTGAAGTGGTTTTTGGAGACCAGAAAAAATCTAACCTGCTCTGAAATGCACAAGTTTGTCTCCGTAGGCTTTCATTTGGCATTTTTTGATGTTTTATTCCCACAAAGTGAATATGCAACTCAAATAGGTTTTCATATTTTTGATATGGGCTTTAATGGATAGGAGACTCACTGTCGAGCTTTCATTCACTGCAATAGAAGCTGCCGGCAGATTTTCTCCTCAGTCTGTCAGTACTTTTTAATACTTCCTGTAGGCTTTATTGGACAAGGAAGTGGAGAGGAAGACAGGAAAGCAGGGAGAAGAGTAGGCGAAGGGGCTGCAGGAGCTACCGGGCGTCCCAGTCTGTCAATACTTCAGCTTTCCTTCATGCTTGTGTAAACAAGATATAAATGCTCATACTCAGCAACTGAAGCTCTTTCTGAAAATACCAAAAACACAACTTTATTCACATGCAAACACGTTTATTCTTAAACAAAACGTGTCATGATCTATAGTGGCGTGTGATTATAGCTTAGTGAGTAGATTTACTACTTTGCGAACTCTATTTTAGGGTGCAGGAGGTTCTGGCTTTGAGTCCAGATACAGACAAAAGCGCTGTTTGAATACCACTTTAACAAAACTGTGTGCTTAGTGTCAGTCAGAATACTGTAAAAAAAAAAACATCATGTCTTTCAAAACATAAATATTAGATTTTCTTACAAGTAGTCAAAAGCTGTTTTTAATTTGTTGATTTTTCTTATTCTGTGTCGCTCCCTCTATTGATGCCAGTGTTGCATTTCATGTGTCTTTGAGTGCCCTCTATTGGTGCTTGAACTCTCCAGTAACAAGCTCTAAATGGAGAAAACAAAACACAACAGTGGGTTCAGCACCAGGTTCCTTCTGCACATGTGCTGAACTGAACAAACTCTTACAAGCAAACTGCAGCAGCTTTCACACTTGCAATTTCCTGCAATAATTGCCTGTTCTAATTTTGTTATGTGTCCAGGAGGAACCGGAATATGAAGAACCCCCGGCTTTGCCTCCACGTTCTGATGATTTCCTCGACATGGACGCCCCTCCTCTACCTGCAAGGTCAGCAGAGGTGGAGGTGGATGATGGAGATTACGAGGAGCTCGCTGAACCACCTGCTCCTGTGCCGACAGGTCTGTCTCTGAGCAAACAGTCACTCCAAATGGAAATACTTCAACATTAAACATTCATCTCAGTGTTTTCTTTAACAGATGGGGATAATGACTATGAAGACCTGACGTGTGGCCAGAAGGCAAGAGCTATTTATGACTATCAGGGAGGTATGACTCTTGTTCACTTCTTCATTTTCATGCACTAACACCGTCACACATGCAACTCTGTCAAAAGGATAATTCAAGAATACATAAGAACATTAGACTTACATCCTGAGTACTCACATGTGATCTGATTAGATGCTAGTGTGGTATAAATGTCCAAATTAATGGTGATAAACCGTTTTTTTTAGACTTCTGTTAACATGCTTGATAAACTTGTAGCACCTCGAGCACATTTCATAATTGAGTTCATGGAGTGTCATGAGTTTGAGGACTCTTGTTTTAAAATTAAATGTTTCTGGAGTTGAGGACACATCCTTTGGTCTCCTTTTCACACAGAGGCAGATGATGAGATTTCCTTCAATCCAGACGACATCATCACCAACATAGAGATGATTGACGAGGGCTGGTGGAAGGGACTGTGTCACGGACGCATCGGTCTGTTTCCGGCCGCTTACGTTGAGCTGATGTGAGCGACTCACCGGAGCAGTTTGCTTTTGCACAAGCTTCACTTAAACTCAGGTTTCGTAACTTGGACAACAGAAGAAATGAATTTATCACTGTATTTATAGAATAAATCACAGCAAGTTTTTTTGATCAGCTAATTTCAATCATTTGACTACATAATATCCTGTGAGGATCTGTGGCGGCGCATGTGAAGGTAGTGAGACGACAAAACCCACAATAATGGTGAGAATTGACATGTTTTAGCTGGGATGAACTGATCAGAGACAATAAAATATATTTTATGGGAAAGTTCTGTTTGTACACCAGTTATTTTTATTAGATAATTTCTTATCAGTGTCAATTTACAATAGAGTTCCAAGCAAACTGTGGCAGCTTCTGTATGATTCGGTCTGATGTGATATCTGCCAGTTCACTTGTGCAGGAAAATATCATCGCCCAGCAATAAGTGGTACGAAACTAGAGATATAACATCAAAATACAGTCAACAAAATAAGCCAAAGGACAACAAATTAGAGGACACACAGATTTAACATGTAGCAGAGCATACACGTGTATCTCCTCCAATTCTACAACACAATAAAGCACTGTGAAGTCCACACAAGTGTTATGTTCTTAGGAATTGTTCTGAAATCAAAATGGAGCTGCTGTTCCATGAGAGCAGTTTTCTGCAGTGAACTTTGTACAACTTCAGGCTCTGTGATAAAGCCATGAATGTAAAAATCCACTGGACAGAAAAATATTTACTGGCAGACAGTCATCACTTACCATGTGTAAACAAATACATGAAATGATTCTGTGTTTCTGCATCCAGAGTCTTTAAGGCAAAGCAACAGTCTTTTGGTTTTCTCCATTTTACCAGGAAATACCCTTCTTCTTCTTGCCTTTGCCACTTTTCTTTGCCATCCGTTTGCCTTTCAGTTTCTTAGCCTGTCGTTGACTCATCCATGCAGGATACTGTCCGTTTTCATCCAACAGAGTTGTCTTGTTGCGCTTGCTGTCCATGTCCATCTTCCCGTCTAAAACACAGAAATGCAGAGATTGGCTCAGTGAGAAAAATTCAACACAAGCTTGCTAAGACAAAAAGGAAATATTACTTTGCTATTAACATGTTGTGGCACTTATATATATGCAGATATATCTATATATCTTTCTATATATATAATTCTTTTTTTTTTCACTCTACATCTACAGAAACCAGTGTGAAATCACAGCGCAATCAATATGTCAAACTGTACAACTACAAAAGCTGTTCTGTTCATGGTCTCACTTACCGTCACCTTCGAATTCTGCCATTTCAACATCTGCCCCCTTCTTTATCTTGGCAGCCGGCACCACTGTGGCAATCTCTTGCACGTCAGTCATGACAGCTTCTCCTTTCTTATCCAGATTCAGAGCTTGTTTCAGTCGAGCCAGCTCCTTGGGAGCATTTTTCTTCCTCTTCTCTGCCCGCATTTTTCGCTTCCATTTGCTCCGGAGGCTTTTTGCCATTTTAAGGATGATCTGAAAGAACAATAAATATTGGTTTTCATGTTTTTAGGAACCTGTGCATGTTGGGGATTTTTTTTATGACCACATAGCATTAAAAACAACAAAGATGAGGACAGATGGCAGTGACACAGTTTCACTGAACATGCAAAGTGAAAGACATGAAACATGTCAAAGAGGCTCAATCAAAGGAGGTTATGCATTAAGAAAACTAATTGCATTCTTCTTCAATACTTTTGAAGACAGTAACACTCACACGGTGCCCCACACTAACATATTTCAGAATTATTACAAACAGTTGCTGTGAGACACACAGCTTGCTACTAGATGCTGCATCCCATACTTTTGTTTTCACTAATGACATCCTGAAAATTCTACTCCTAAAGGGGGGAGAATAAAGGCCAAAAGGAAACTGTACTCAACAAAAATATGAATGCAGCATGTAATATTATATTAAATTCTATCTACTCTTTTCAACATGGGGGGATAAGTTTCTGTTGTTCCAATAAGCATCTTTACAACAGAATGGATGTCATGAAACCACTAAGTATGCATTGTACTGGGACTTGTCATGGACCAGAAATCACAAGTCACACACTGATGATGCATTCGGTAATGAAACTGTTGATGCCTGTTGAACATTGTCCCAATCTTCCTGAAGGGCTTTGTAAGGTTCATGAACAATTAGAGTGACGGCATGATGTTGTCAAACACATCCATCCAGAGAATCATCTGGCAGATTGTTGTACCACGATGTCTGACACGATTTCTTGGAGGACAAATGGAGGAGTTTAGCGCATGTGAGTGCCTGGTTACAGCACCATCTAGCAGCCCAACAGCCTCTTCTGGTCTATCTCTTGTCATCTGTGGCATCGCGTCATTTGAATAAAGCTGCATTTTAAGGTGGTTTTATATAGTTAGTGTTCACACTATCTGATCATTAAAAAAAAGACCATTTGTATGCTGCGTTTATATATTTTTTTAGCTGTAGTTGTGAGTGAATACAGGTAATCATCTCTGTACCTGGCTAATTTTCATCAGCAGACATCTGACAAAACGTTTAGTGACCCATTTAAACCCAATCACTTATATTTTAGATATTATTACATCCTAACCAGGAATGTCACGTGGTACTAAACACCACATTCACCGAGCTGTTACAACTTAACAAAACGGGCCTCCAAAAACCTCTACATGGCTTTAATAAACCTATTCAGTACTTAAATGACACACGACCACATTTATCCACATATTAACGAGGAAATAATAGTTAGATTAAGTCACTAACTCATTAAAGTCATCAGCAAGCTATATAGCTAAGTAAAGCGTTTGCTAGCTAGTTAGCCACCGTATTTATGGTGTGGTTCAGTTTTTAAAAATACAAAACACCGTTTATTTTCGCAAAATAAACCAACAGAGATGTGACTATTGTTCCACAATACAAAAGGTAAGTTTACTTACATACGAGTGAAGTGTATTATCTGTTTAAATTCTCTGCGTTGCGACAGGAACACACACGGCTCCCTACACGTGTTTACAAGTGAAGAAAAAAATGGTTGGAAGAAGCTGCAACGTGATTGGCTGCTTTAGACATTCTGAAGACCGTGACATCTGATTGGCCAGCGAACTCAAACCAGGAAGTTCAAGGGATCATGAAGCGTAAACAAACGCTGTGGAGAGGACAATGTGCAAACTAAACCTTCTCACAGGCTTATTCAGCTGTATTCTGAGCTGCTAACAGCAAAGCAGCAACTCGTAGGGCTGTGAACAGCAGCAGTGTTTCTTCTTTTGTGGTCTTAAATTTGTCCAGGAGTCATGAGCAGTTGCTCGACCAGTCAGCCTCCTGCTCGCACCGTCGGTTCGGTCAGCAGCCCTCTGCTTTCCTCTGCTTCAGCTCACGTAACCAACATGTTGGACACGGCTGCAGAGCAAATGATGGTCTACAAAGATTTCCAGGCGGCTTTTGACACATGTAACAGAGGTCTGGAGAGTGTGGCCAGTATGGAGCCAGAGGACAACAGGTGACTGTGAAACTTTCCCCTCATGCACCTAAAAGCACCTCAGTGCTCCCTGCAGCCTGGATGTTACTGCAGCTGTATGATTCTGTGTTTTGTCTTTGCAGACGTGAGGAGCTGAAGGCTGGTTTCTGCATCTTAGGGATTCAGGCTCTGGCTGAGCAGAATCAGTGGCAGGGTGTCCTCTCCTGGGTCCTGCAGCAGTATGAGCACCAGGAGGAAATCCCAGCTAGAATAATGCAGATGTGGTGAGCAGATCTCTAACAGTATTTATTTTTCTTCTTTTTAATCAGTTAGTTGTATTTAAGGAAAAAGAAATATTCATCAGCAAAGTTTGGTGAACAATACAATTTCAAATGAGTTATCAAGCAAATAATATATTTAATTCCAGATTATTTCTAAGTAAGTTTTACTTTTTTCCTTCCTTTTTTGTGTAAATTGAATATTGGAGTGCTGCTTGTGTAATATCAACAATCTGAATATTACACATTGATATTTAAAAAGTTGTACTTTTTCCACTTTTATACACTTCATGAATTACAATTGATTATGTAAATAATCATTAGCTGCAGTTCTAATGTTCAGGAGTCTAAGGAACATTTATATGACTTCATTAGCCAGGCCAACAAAAAGCTCTTACAGACTGCATTTGGATTATTTACATTAGTGCTGCACAATACTGGAAAAAACTGACACTGTGATGTTTTATTTTCTCCACTGCAAATATATTGTGATATGAAAAATGCAGGATTTTTTACAGACTTACTTGAATAATAACTTGTAGGGCACCCAACAGGTTGAGCAGGTGACCCACGTACAGGGGCTGAAAGTCCCCGACGCAGCGGCCATGATTTGAGTCCCACCCACGGCTCATTTGCCACATGTCCTTCCTCCACTCTTCTCCCCATGTTTCCTGTCTCTCTCTTCACTGTCCTCTACAATAAAGGCAAAAAATAACATTAAATAACTTGTTAAAAACTTTGGAACCTTTTTCAATCCAAATTTGTTTTGGATGACAACCAGATCTGGCCCTGCACTCATCATACAGATGTCTGTGGTGGTGATTTAGATGGTTAAAACAAATTAATCATGTTGCCTCATGTGGTGGCATCTATTGCAAGACACTGTCGACAGACAGTTGTCAACATCATCCTTTCTATAGCTAAAATATTTCCAGATAACTGATGCTGCATTTGGTTTCAGACCCAGATCTCCCTTCCTAGCCTTTCTTTCCTGTTCTTCAATTATTTTGTTGTGCACATGTGGCGCCTACATGTCAAAAAACTCTGTGTCTTGTAAATGAAATTAGATGAAAACTCAGCTCATCCAGGAATCCGTAAATCTGAGTAAATCATTTTCTTTCAGGCAGGCTCAAACTGTAGACGAGTCACAGAAAATTAGAACAATGCAAGTTTTCTTTTCGTATCAAGCAGCGAAAAAAAACTGTAACGTGATGTATAAATTTGTCCCATTCACATTGTTCTTCCTGCATTGTGACGATTGTGCATGAGGACATAACGATGTAGACACTGAAATTCAATTTAGAGTGAATTTCCTGTCTCATTTTTATGTTGAATTTCGGTTAAATAGAATTAAAAACTGAATGAAAAAACAAAAACTAAATAAAGGCAAACAGTTGCAGCTCCCAATAAAAAGCACTGGGAGCCGCAACTAACATCCTTTTTATTATCAAGTAATCTGTTCATTATTTTTTCAACAACTTGATTAATTGCTGTGTCAGTAAAATGCTAGAAAGTTGTGTAAAGGCCCATTATAGTTTTAAAGTTCCTTGTTTTATTCCACCATCCGTCCAAACTCATGATAGTCACTTTGCTGTCATACATTGCAAGTAAAGCAGCACATTTTCTCAGAAATGAGAGAATGTTTGACATTTTTTTGGAAATTGTGACAAAACACCAACTGAACAGATTTTCTCTCTCATGTTGGCAGCATACTTCTTTACTCCAAGGTGTGTGAGCCTGCCGTGATGCAGGAGGCAGCCAGAGTTTGGCTACACTGTCCGTCCAACAGCGGAGAGGCTGGGTTCGGGGCGGTCGCAGAGCTGTATCTGCTGCACGTCCTTGTGCCTCTCGGACATACAGACGAGGCTCGGGAGCTGATTGTAGGCGAGGTGGGTGGCGCTGCCTTTACAGAAGACCAGAGACAGACGGCGCTGGATGTTGTAGAAGAAAAAGAGCAACAGAACCAAGAACCACCTTTAAGTCCAACATCAGACATCACTGCACATCCTGTCTCAACTCAAGGTCTGATATTTCAGCTCAGTCCTCATTACACGCATTATGTTACAAATTAAGTACAAATAACAGCTGTAAATGCTCTTTCTGATTGTGTTTTACAGGTAGCCTAATTCACAAACTTGAAGCCATGCTCAAGTTTTTATACAGGAAAGTCGTGATGCGTGGCTCTGGTTCATTCCCCCTCCGGAGAGTCTTTCTGGCTGCTGTCCTCCTCTACATGCTTCTTTTCCGACTGGATCCAGGTTTGATGAAATGTTCTTAGTTTATTGATATCATTACCAGGCTTTTGAAAGTCAAAAAAAAGAAAAGAAAAGCATTTGATTTGGGAATAAACTGCCGCTTTTCTAACTTCTTCTTTTTTTTTTGCCGACAGCTCTCCCATCTTCATTCATGTGGATTTCCAAACTCCTTCAGCTTCTCAGACAGATGTGGACCGCTATGTTTGCACCGTATTATCAGGCTCTCGCTCCGAGCAAAGAACTGTAAAAGACTGAAAATCACACTGTGTTTAGTGCAGCTTTTTGATTTAGCTGTGTTTTGCAAGAAAACATGACTTAGTGCAGTATTTCTTTATTATCATACCTGTGAAGTTATATAAGCAACTTACTCCACACCCAAAGACATTCTGGGAGTATTTGCTGTTATATTCCCATTGATGCATTCTTATGGTTGCTGATCCAGATTGTTCGTCTTGAAGTAACACCCAACTCATCCTGATATGTTTATTTAACCAGGATCACTGCATCCTGATCATGGTAGCATTAGTAGACGTAACAAAGAGAAGGAAAGTATGATCGAGAAAATAGATCCATCAAATAATACATGCAATAATATATGAACATTTTACCTTAATTTTGTGTTTAATGAAAAGGGATGAAAAGAAAGCAGGAAAGCTTTGAACTACAGAATTGAATGCTGCTTCAGTTTCACTGATTGTGTGTCTTGTTGCACCAGCTGCCTGCACCTGTGTTGAATAAGGTGAGTCAATTTCAAGACGATGAATAGTTATGTAATTACTTTTATTTACATTTTTTTGCTTTAATTAATTTACATTATTTTGTAGAAATTGGTTTTGACTTTGACATGAAAGAGTATTTTTTTGTAACTTAATAATAAAAAAGCAATCAAAATCAGTTAAAAGGGAAAACTTAGAAGGGGGGTGAATACTTTTTATAGGCCCTGTATAGATGGTCTAATGGTCTAATGTGGACTAGACTACCAAAGAGTCTTGATACACGGGCTCTTTGGTGTCACATATATATATATATATATATATATATATATTTAATGCAATTTCTTTTGGTTTCTTTTTTTTTTGCATCAGGACCACATTACAACAGGTCCAAATCTAAAATCAGTATAAAGACTAATTTAAAACGTTTCTGATTTGTGAAACCTTTGTTCTGTTTGTCTGATCCACATGTGAATATAACTGTGGAATCTCAATTCTGTTTTGCACTTTGACAAATAACATAAAGGTTTCATTAAAAAAAAAAACAAAAAAAAAACGGTTCACCTAAAATGTCACGATGTTTGCATTTCCTTTTGCCTCAATTTCCCTGTTAGAGCTAACTTCAGCTTAGAACTCTTGATCATGTGGGTTAAAGTCAGTAAATATTGCAAAAGGCTTGATCTTATCGTTGGTGTCCGTCTGTTCTGTGTTTGTGTTGGAGGCTCTCAGCAGCTGTTAAGTTTCGATTCCAGCAAAGCGAACTGAAACGTGAAAACGAAAGTAAAGCTGCAGCTGACGATGTGACGGAGATGTTTGCTGCTCAGCTGATTTTTACTCAACAACAGGCTCATTTTGCACAACAGAAGCACGGCTTGAGCAGGTTATAAACTGGTTGATGTGGTGAAGGACGAGCTTCATTAGTTAAACTTGACTGTGAAGAAGACGTTTGTATCGATGTCTGCTGGGATCTGCAGGCTGTTTTCACGGTTCAGTGTCAGAGACTTCCAGGTCGGTAAGTAGACCCCAATCAGCCTGATGGAGACTTTGATGCTAAAAATACAACCTCCTGTACAGTGTGATGCAGGAACACAGCCAGTACCTGAGTGGAATAAGTACACATGTACTCAAGTACTGTACTTCAGTACATTTTGATGTGCTTCTACTTAAGCACTTAAATTACTATCTTTAATTACTAGTTTTCGATTTTTGTGAAATTAATCTTCAACAGCCACATAAACAGGAAGCACAGTGAGAAACAATAAGAAATACAACACAGATTAAACGTATATAATACATGAATGTATAGCTGTCATATCTACAGTAATGTACAGATAATGACATGATGGATAGTTGTGCCCAAATTGTTGAACACACAGGTCATGTAAAGTTGGAATCAAAAAGACAAACAACTAAACAGTGATTACACAATGTCTCTGAAACACTGTGACATGATGTTATTGTACCTGTAGGGCTGTAAAGAGAACAGTGCTGCATGGTGATGTTGAACTTGAAGGGCTTTTATCAGAAAAAGTGTTACAAGTTGTGTTGCTGTTAATTCAAACATAAATTAAAGTGTGAAACATAACACTTTAAAGGGTCCATATTGTGCTCTTTTCCGCAGGTTGATGAAAGTTTTGTATGTTTACACAAAGTGTCTTTCAATTTTTCAGCTCAAAATACTGCAAAGATGGTTCATTTCACCGTAACTGTATAATTCTTTGTTTTAGTCCTGTTTTAAACAGGTTATATCAGGGTCTTTAAATGCAGCTGAACCAGTTTAGCCTCACTAAGGATTTTAATATTGTTGTGGTGACATTACCACCAAAAATACAAATAATCCACTGGGTCCTTGGTTCTTCCAATGCTGGAAGTACATTAAGACTTTTGTGTTCACCCTTGCAGCCAAAACCAGAACATTTGGAACAAAATAATCACACATTAATCCGTCAGCAAGATGTCAGCCACACAGGCTATGTTGTATTCTGCATTGCGTATTTCTACTTTTGGTAATGTGAGTACATTTGCATTGTCATCACTTCAGTAATACTTTTGCAATGAAGTACTTGTACAGTTTTATATTAATACATTTTGAATTCATCCTTCAGCATTGAATCCTGGAACGTATATTGTTCTGCAACCATGAAACATAACTTTACAAATCGTTTTTTGGACAAAATATTGTATATTTGTGTTATTATGATGCAGTATACCGCCATCACAAAATACTGAACTGAGACAAACCCAGCATGAACTGTATTATTTATTACAGGGCTGATGCTTTGAGCTGCATTAAATCAGGCAGCTGTTTTTATTTTTCTGGTCTCTCAAGTTTATTATACTGGGGTGGTTTGTGGGAGGGAAAAATTCTTTCATAAAGCTTTGCGGTTTCAAATATCAGTGCTCTTCTTTATTTTACTCCCTAAAATGTTTTGGGGGAATCCATGAGGAGCTGGGGGCCCCAATACGACTCCCTAAAAATCTAGAGGACTCTCACACATCTGAAAGTTTTTCTTTTTGTGTCTAAATTAAAACCTCCTCAGATCCACGCCAAAACATAGAACAATTCAGCTTGTTATGCAGAGTGTGCATTTTTTAAACCAGCTTTTTACTGTCATTGCATTGAACATTTTTTTTTCTCTCCACCAATAAATCCTTCAGGTGAGTTTCAGTGACATAGAAAGCATAATACAGACTTTGGATATGTGTGAAATAAACCTGCTAGACGTCTGCTTTACGTGGGACCTTAAACCAATAAACCAAACCAAGCTCTGTCCATAAAACCGTTGAGTTGTTGTTGTAATAGAACATATACATGAGGTGGGTGTTCTGCACAGCTGTATTGACATTTTGAACCCATGTTAGTTACCTTTTAATTTTATTGACAGTGGACTGGATCCTTGGTAACATGCTTGATTCAAGGTGTCACAGACTGTTATTTTACTTTTAATGGTGTTTTACAGAAATGAGAGGACTCTCCAACTACCGTCTCTCCTGCTGTGTGAACACTTTGCTGCAGACCCTCTCTGCCACCTGGGAAGTACTAGACCTACTATTAAAGTAAGTAAATGAAGTACTGTATTCATCATGATCCTGACTTATAAAGCAGAAAAAGCTTACAAAAATAACAAACTGTAATGCTTTTGATCAATGCAGTTTCAGTGTGTTTTAGTTCCCATTTATCAAGTTCTGTATCCATTTGGCCTCATGAAACCCTTTCAGATATTTGAAAAATGCACTAACATCCATCTGCCAACAAGGCTGTGTTTCTCAGAAGCTGAAAAATAAAGATTAATGAGCGTTTATGAATATCACAAGGTGGGAAGCAGCTGGTGCGAGACCGGATAGTCCTAATGTCCCCCTGCAGCTAAAGAGGGTTCTTTCAGCCATGCAAGGAGACCTTCCTCAGCCTGCTCCACATCGTGACTTCCTCCACTGTCTAGACAGACACTTCATTCGTCGTAAGGGCCAGAAACTTTCAGAGCAAATGTCTCATGCTGATGCACGCCGTGCACAATTTCTAACAATGAGAATGTTGTTTTGCAGTTGGTGCACAGCATGACGCTGACGAGGTCTTCCTCTCCATTCTGAACCTCGTGCAGCAGCAGATAGATGACAAAGCTCTGGTTGGACTTTAGCCACAAATTCATTTTAAGTACCATCTCTAAGCATGTTATCTGTATTACACAGTGTTTGCATGCATTTGCTTTCTCTGTTAGGCTCTTGAAATCCAGAATCTTTACAAGATTTCAGTGGAGACGCACCTGCAGTGTTTGGATTGCACCTCCATCCAAACTCGAAGCAGCTACATGCTCAGCCTGCCTCTGCATATCAAGGAAGATACCAACTCTCTGGTGCTGAAGTGGATTCTTTCAAATTAATATCACATTTAGAAAACACATTAATTTGCTTTCTTGCCAGGAGTTATATAACAAGATCAGACAAATATCCGTACATTAAATATGAAGCTACAGCTTGCAGACAGTTAGCTTAGCTTAGCATAACATCACTAAGCACAGGGAAGCAGGTAGCCTTGTAAAAGTAGCATTTTTTTGGTACAGATTAAACACACCAGCTTCTTAGGGTTATAGCTGCTGGGAGGTGATTTTATTTTTGTTTTCCAATTCCAGTCTTTATGCTAAGCTAAGCTAACTGACTCCCACTACATTTCTTATGCATAGGTGAGAGTGGTCTTGGTCTTCTGCTCTAACTCTCTTCAAGAAAATGAACATATATTCAAAAACTGCAACTCTGACTCTTTACAGGAGGGCTGCATGACCTCCTTCTTTGAGCACCAGGAGTTAAGGGGCAGAGATCGCTGGTTTTGTGCCCAATGTGGAAGGAAGACAACCTCCAAACAGGTGAGGCTCGATTTAAATGTTACAGTGAAATGCTTTTTTAACGTAGTCATCAACAATTTGTATTTTCAGGGTGTCAAACTCCTCTCCCTGCCTCCTATCTTGTGCGTGCATCTGAAACGATTTCGGAATATGTACGGTTCCACCCGGAAACTTGACTGCAGAGTTACGTTTCCAGAAACCTTTGACTTCTCGGAGATTGTAAAAGAAGCGTTCTCTACAGGCTCTGAGCAGGTACTTCTGTTTTCTGTCTAGTATCTGGATCTTGTGTTTTTTGTCATCTAAAAGTTTATTTGTCCCTCCAGAACAATACGAAGTACACTTTGTATGCAGTGGTGGTGCACTCTGGTGTTGCAATGTGTGGGCACTATACTGCCTACGTCTGTCACGGAGTGAACAAGCGCTGGTACTATGCAAATGACGGGCATGTACACCAGGTACGACAAAATCTCTCTCATTTTAATAAAAGTTATTTCTACCTTTATACTTGTAAAACATATTTATGATTGAACATTTCCTTGTTAATCATAATACATAGTTAGATATGAAGCTATTTTGAATTAAAAGGTCAAGAAAGTAGAAGGTGAAATTTAGTGTATGAAATGTCTAAAATGATGTCTTAGGATCACTTTCTAAGAGCATTAAGGAAAGAAAATATAGCTTTAACTGTCTGCTTGTTAATGAAATATTTTTTGTATTATTGTAATGCCGTTTTATGCAAATTTGTGATTAATTTGTTGTTCAATTTTCCCTGAAACACACAGACCTCCTGGGAAGAAGTGCAGACAACATATGGAGGACATTACAGGTACATTTAATTTCTATTCTGTCTTGCATAGAGGGTGGAGGTCTTTCTAAAACAGCCTTTTGGGTAATGTGATTACTTGCTTTCTTGCAAAAATATCACAATAAACTACTGCCATATTAAAAATACAGGCCTCGCAGTAGGAACAGTCAGTACACCATTCATTAATGAGATTCAAATCTATAATTAAGTCCACCTTTAGTTTGAAAGACAGACTCAGTCCTCCTCTACACTACACATTTGCACTGATGATGCTTGAAATATAATTAAAAAAAAAAAAACAGAACAAAACATAATTTTTTGAACTGCAGGTAATGCAAGTTGCGATGCTCGTTACCCTCGCTAAGATGGGGAATTCTGCCTTTTTCTTGGAGTAGCTCGACTGTGGAGTGACTCTGGGCTTTATTGGGTTTCACCTGTTTCACAAAAGGATAATACTACACAGGATTTAGTTTATAATAATATAGAATGGAATAATTAAGATTAGAAATCTAATGTCATATTGATATACTCCTTATTTTTATTAAGGACAATTTCATGACATCCAATACATTATTTATCTCTCGATTTCTCCTCTAATTCTTTTGCTTTATAGCTATAACATTTGCAGTTGTCACTAGCAGTAAACAAATATTTAGATCAGAGGACAGTTTGCATTTAAGTAGCTGTCAGAAAAACAATTCTGATCTTTAAAGGGATCATTTTGGATTTCGAGAAATAGGATTTTGTGTATCTGCAGCCACAAGGCAATTAGCTTAGCTTAGCTTAGCTTAGCCTAAAGACTGAAAACAGGGCAATTTGCAAAGTTATCCTTGCTTTGTTTTAAAAAATAACAAATGCTCACTACATCTATCCCTCTGAAGTATTCTGTAATGTTTGAAGGTAGCTGTTTCCAGTGTTTATGCTAAGCTAAGCTAACCACCGCCAGAACCCAGGCTCACATTCACCATACTGACTTCAGAGGGGTATCAGACTCTTGGCAAAAGAGCAAATAGCAGTTTCTTATACGTCAAACTGTTCCTTTAATGTCGAGACAGAGGTGGGGAGAGACACATTCTCAAATTAAATAAATTCTGAGCTTCATAAGAGGAGCTGTCTCAACTTTTATTTCTTCTCACATTAACAACTGAAGCTCTCTTTGCTCAGCCTCATCTATAAAATCATCTCTCACCTTTGAAAAATTTGGGATACAACCACCATGCCGTCAGGAAGAAGTAACAAAAAACATGTGACTCCAATTTTATCCTCCTTAAAGTGGCTTCCAGTTGCTTTTAGAGTTAAATTTAAGATTGTATTAATAACATTTAAAGCTCTAAATGCCTGACGTCCGCTGACATCATGGAGCTTTTATGTTCCTACTTGCAGAAACAGCTTTAGATCTTTAAACAAAGCCTTATTGTCTGTCCCTCGGTCAAGATTAAAGACTGAAGGTGAATACATTTTTTGCCACGAGGGCTCTCAAACTTTTGAACTCCTAAACAGAGGAAATCCGTCTCGTCTGTCATGTTGTGTCGTCTTTGAACAGCGGACTGCTTTTTGGCGAACACCTGCTATCTGTCTTTTCACTTTATATTCCTGTTTATTGTATTGAAATTTTCCTTATGTTTCCTTCACCAAATGTGCACGTTTATCTTCAAAATGGCTCTGTAAAGTATTTATTTGTGTTATTTACAGAGACACGGCGTACATGTTAATGTACAGGAGAGGTTCAAAAGAAGAATGGAAACAACCGGAATTTTCTGGCTGAATGGATGGAAGCAAATAAATCAGGGGACATGGGGCAACATAGGAACATATGGAAACATTTATTTTCTTGAAATTATTTATTCCAATTTCTGATTTTGCTGTACATGCTGAAAGGTTTTATTGGTGATATGTATTTTTCTGACCTCATAGAGCTCATAGATGTAAACCAGCACAGTAATTTGTTAAAGGAACCAGTAGGTGGCGTTCAAGATTCAAATCCTGAGAGTGTTTTTGACTCAGACCACACACACAGCAAACACACTCTGTGATACTGGGGGGTTGGTTTGAAGAGAATGCTTAGCTTAGATATTTGCTGTTTGGGGGAAATACCTGCAACAGGACTCAGTGTTCACTGTCCTGACAATGCTGTACATGAGTCATTCCTGAAGAACAATGAAGTCATTTTTTTGCTCACATGGCCTGACAAAAACATCAACTTTGATTTTCTGAATTATATTTTCCTACTTCTTGCAAGTCTTTTTTTAAAACCACTATTTAAAAAGAAGATTTGGAGTCATGTGCCTTAATATTTTAGGCATTTAATGATGCACCAACAGCAGCAACTATACACAGTCATTTATGTGTTTGCAGAATGCATTGAGGGAATTATCTTACAATTAAAAGACGTTCAACACTAAAGTTGCAGCCACAGTGCGTAAATGCTCGATTTAGCCTCTCAGCAGAGCCACTAAAGTTCCCACTCGCTTGGCCAAGAGTTGGGGGACCGTGTGAAATGGTGCCTATGTGCTGCACAGCTCTGACAGAATGGAACATGTCTGCACAGTGCCAGAGGCGGCGGGCCTCATGCTTAGTCATCTTGATGCTGTGTAGCACAGGCATGGCTTTCTGTATAGGGGGTATCTTCCTCCCACATTCACGGCAGGGACAGATATGAGTGTCTTGACTTGAGTCAGCGTCACAGATATGCTCAGTTGAATTGTATTTGTGACATGAGATCATGACTCAGACAAGCACAAGTACAGAGCTGACATTGGAAATAGTCCTGACACCACAAAGTATTTACATATACTAAAAACATTCAGTATTTGGATTTACAGTCAGTATCATGCACTGTTTTTATTTGTTACATGACACCAGTGTTGGAAGAAGTACGACTACTACTTTATTTAAAGTAGCTATAATCCTTTTTAAAACCAAAAAAACGTAGAAACACTGGACATGACATTAAAGAGTCATCATACTAAACCCACAGGATGTTAGCTGACGGCAAGAAATAAAATAATTAAATACTGATTCCCAGCTGGACGTATAAATAGGCAACTGTTTCCTAAGAAGTTCACCATGTCACTTTAAAATGTGATGGTCACATGACAGTCTGTTTCCGCTGCTCCTCAAATGGGCAAAAAATCAGTTATCTCAGGTTTCAATCAAAGTAGTGAAGTGCTGCGATGCAGAACAGCATCTTTATAGTCTATGTACACATGACGTTATTGGCTTGCAATGATGGAAAGCTGCCAAGTAGATTTACTACAGTAGTGTACCTAATTGCAGTATCAAAGTACTTGAGCAATTGTAATTTAAGATATGTTATGCATTTACTTAACCACAAATGTACTTATTATTTCACCACATGTTCCTGACAGCTCCACCGCGACCAGCTACAACATTGAAACACTGATTATAATTCAATTCATCAATACTCAGACTTACACTGATGTGTACTTTACACAGTTTAATAGTACAACACGCAGAAATGGGCAATGTTGAGTTTTTTTGTATTTGATATGCGAAACCAGTACTTTAATGTTGCTACTGTTCAAGGTGGCACTAATTGAAGAATCCCATATACTATTGGGTATTTTAATTTATAAAAGGGCATCGTAATTTGTTGCTTGTCTAAATTGGTGAACTAACTGTTAACTTAAGCTGTCAGTAATGTAGTAAAGTAAAAACTAGAATATTTCTGTCTGAAATGTTGTGGGGTTCAAGTATAAAGTAAAAGTACCTTTGCATTGTGCTGAAATTACCGAATTACTTGCAAACATTTCATAATGCTCCTCTTTTGAGAAAGTCCCATTTGTCATATGGATCCCCCTCGGAAAGATAGTCGTAACTGTGAAGAAGGTCAACTAAAATTTCAGAAGAATAATAAGAATCTAAACAGAATACACTGAGCTGATTCTTCCCTTTGTCGGGTTTTAATTAATTATGCATGTTGCACAACCATGTGTGGAGTAGATGTTGGATAAGCACCTGTCCTGCACCACCCTGACATTGACCACATCACAGATGCTGTAACAGTTGCATGACACAGGCAGCACGGCCCGAGGCCACGCGTATAAAGTCTGACTGAACGTCTGGACGTCTTACTTTCTTTTCAACTATGTGTCACAAATGCACAAAGCCTTTGTCTCTATTGTTCAGCTGAGCTCCGACCCCTGCATGTGGTTACTGAGACACTTTATAGCAGATCATAATCTCCGCAATTAAGCTGTAGCTCTTTATCTTGGTCAGGTGTTAGCCAGTCAGCCAAGGACACCTTATGTTGTGTTGTTTTGTTGTATCGTTTCTACAGCAGTGAAAGTGATTGACACAATAAATTCATAAAGCCCCAACGAAAGCAGATATATGGCGTGAACACAGTCTCTGTAGGCACGTAGGCTATAGCAGCGGGCATGATATTCCTATGAAAGTGTTTCCTTTGGACAATATATCGGAGTTCATTAATGCTTTTTTAGTCATTGTTGATGTGTGTTTACCAGTTACTAGGTGAGCACACCACTGAGATGCGTGGAATTTGGCTGTTTGAGAACCACTCTTAAATTTTTTCCTTTTTTGTGTGTGGAGGATTTCACAGGCTTAGATAAACGCCTCTGTCTGACTTAATTTTTTTTTCAAACGCACCAGCTAACAAATATTCCAGCCCTTTGTCTGTGCGAAGATGATCACTGCTTTTCAAAGAATTGCCCTCACGCTCTCCTGCTGTGGAAAAGCAGAGCGGTGAAAGCAGTAAAGCTGAACTGTGAACTGGTGGGCAAACATACACAAAGGTCGCAGTGCCCTTTTTTTTTTTATACCTATTTAGCCACAATACTAGCATTGCTGTACGAAAGTGTCTGTCTGTAAAATAACTTGGTCCAGACTGAAACAGTGTGATGCCGTACGATTTTGCACAATAATGCACATCCTTTGCATAAAAAGTGCAATAACTTTGTTGCATGCCTGATTTTCCCGTCCCACGCCACCATCAAGTAAAAATTTTAGCCGATCTGAAGCTGGTTTATGACCAAATACATGAGAGACTAATGACATTTACATTTTTAGTCAACATTGCCAGATTAGCATGTATTTATTGTACGTGGTCCCGATAAGTAATTTAAAAAAAACCTAAAGGATAGTTCATTTATAAGTAGCAGTCAGTGGATGTGACACTAATTGCCCACATGAAGGCTGTTGCAGACCAAGCACGTACACCTTCACCCAGCTAACTGAATTTTTTGCGCACCGTAATCTGGATTTTTAATTTTCTGAATGGTTTTCTTGAAATACCATCATTCTGGAGTCTTTAGACGATTGTTTGGTTTGTGGCATCTGATCATTCTGGAGCTAATTGGAACAAATGAAACATCATACCATATTAACATCATCATGTAAGCGTTTGTCTCACATGTCCCCACAAAGTAAATTTCAATGTTTCAGCACAAAATTCCAAAAAGAGGGTTGCATTTACAATGCCTGTAGAACCCATGCTTTTAGCCCTGGTCTGTTCTAGCACTGTTTTTCAGTTTCTGTAGCTTTAAATGTAGCTTTAAATGTCCACGCCTCCTTCAGAAAGAAAACTCTGCATCTGTGATTGACAACGCAGAGCCAGACAGTTACCAGCATGCCAGATAACATAGATGTGAATGTGTGTGCGACCAGGATTTTCTATAGCTTCTAACTTTAGTTTTTAAGCAGTAGTTTTACATGGATGGGGAGTTTGTCAGATGACTTTGTGGTTATAAAATCAGTAGTTAGTGGTTCAGTGCAGCAGCTTGGAAATGGCTCTGAAGTGACTTCTGCTTAACATGCAGACTGAATGAGCTGCATTATGATCACTATTTCATAACGGTTATGCTGTCAGACAGCAGAAGCAGAAAAATATTTCAATGAGAACGGCTTTATTGGGAATTTTAATGAAATGTGAACACAGAGTGAGACACAAGCTAACAAATATAAACAGCGGTTGCGTTTAGGTGACATGAAAATACAGCATCACACGCTGTCCTTGTTCACTGGTTTTAAATCGGTCTTGATGTTTCCTACATTTCTGAATTTTCCTCAGTTCTGCAACTTCCACAGAACTCTGACCTGCAGACATACGATCAAAGCTCTTGGTAGCGTTTAGATGAAGGAATGCCAATGGTAAGCGTTCTCATATTTATCAAGCTTTTATTTTACATTTCCAAGTAATGGATTTTCACCAGATGGGACAAGAGGTTAGCAAAGTTAATGTTAGATTGTTGCTGTCTCATTAGCTGGCTTTGACTTCTAACTACACTGTCAGGCTAAAGCATTGGCACGGTTTTTGCACTGTTTCACAATGATGACAAATTTAAAATGTCCGTTGTACCTATTTGGCCTTGTAGCAGTATGGGAACTGCTTGTTTCATTCAGAATTTACATGCTTCATCTTCTGGTTATATTTATACAGACTTAAAAAGGAACTCATTTGCACACTGTCTCCTCACAGTTCTCTTTTCTCTGCCTGCCTCAGATAGTGAATGGCGATTGGTCTTGAGATGATTGTCGTAGGGGAACCGTTTCCCCTATAACGTCAAAACAGAGACCTTTCAACAAGCCCTATGCTGACGGCTTCGATTCTATATAACCTATCTAACAGCGAATCTCTGGATGCTTCAGGGGTGGCAGGCCGGCTCGCACAGCCATTCTTTGGTTACATAATGAGGTTTCAAATAGGAAATGATTCTTTTTTGCTGTCTCTGTGTTCAACATGCAGGCCTGGTGACCATGGTGAAGTCTGGTTTTGTAAATAGCAAACAAGAACTGAAGGCAAATGTCTGCTGCATGACTTAGATTTTTCCTCTCACACAAAAAAATTAGTAAATCAGATAAACCAGATAGGGGACAGGACTGAAAAGAAAATCCTGCATAATTAAAATTAACTCAATCTTAAAGTAAACCCCAACGTTATTTTTAATGCATAAACTCATCTGTGAATATAGTGCAGGGATTTCTGTAGTTTGAACCGTCATGTCAAGAGAGAAATCTTATCTTCCCCCAGTGAGTTCATAAAATTTCCTCTCAGGAGGGTGAAGGGGAGTCTAGTCAACACAACGTTTTCCTCGCTCTTCCCGTGTTCAGTTGTCCTCCCCAAGATTCTTGGCAGTCTGAGTGTAATAAATAGAACATCTGCTGAGTTTTCTAGGAAAAGGGTTGTCGAACAGGCAAAGTGCTACAAGTGAACAGTAAAGCAAAAGTGCAGTTCAGATTTGGTTTGCAATTGAGCAGAACTTAATGTCAGGATGATGCGCTTTGATGTGACTCAAAATGGCAGTTATATAGCAGTTAATGATACATATTCAGTCTGAGTTATTTCTCAGGTTATTTATATTTATTATGAAGTGGACGTCCAGCTGAGAGGAGCTGGCGGGAGGTCGCAGATGTTGGTTCTCACA